AAGTTTAATTATAACTAATGATTATGTTTGTAGTATGTGACAGGGCATATGTAGCGATGATTGTGATAGAATATTGATATTGTTCAACCTCGCTTTACCCAAAATCATCTACAATATTTTAATTTTCGCGTGTAGGTCCTCGTATTTTGACATTAAAAGAATACATTCCTTCTTTATCATCTCCCATCAGCTATTTAATTTTAATTGCAATCAAAATAACGACAAAAGGACCAGTTTAAATCAATTTTACACTTCAATAAAAGACTTTTGACTATCGAGGCCATAAAACAAATAAGTTAGTAGCTATTAAACAACACTTTTTAGAGTCGAAGGGACTACTTGAATACTTCTAAAAAAACGAACCTCACCTAAGCAAACAGTCGGAGAGTCGAAGGAATCCTGAGCAAATTACCGTTTCAGATTTACAACGTGTCGGCGAATGTCAGCCATCTTGTTAGGCGCACAGCTTAATTTTTTACCCCGATTCCAGGGAGATTGGCAAGCTAGGAAATTGTCGTGTAAATGCACATTATTATAACTGTTCTGGTAATGGTTAGTTTGTGGGTAGATAGGGAATGTGACAGCTGCCTCTCTTCTTGCTAAGGTCGGAGGAGTCAATTGATCTGGGGATCTTTTGGTAGTATATGCTTGTTGGTAGGGTGAATACTGTTGCTTTTTTGAAGAATAAACAACAACACAGATATCAATCTTTCTAAGGACCGATTTTCCTAACGCCATTAAAATTTTATCAGAAGAATAACTTTGAATATTGGACAATTTTTTGATACTACAAACTGTCAAACGTCAAATTTATTTTACAGTTAAGAATTATCGGCCCTTAGAAATTAATATTTTATGATGATGTTAGTCAATTTTCAATATAGAATAATGTATCAGTCCGTCAATGCATATGTAATTCCTTTCATATTATGTTACTGGTGCCGATAGACGGCGCTGATTGTTTACTACACATCTGATTCATTTGCCCGTTTGCCGTTTTATTCGGCTTCGCATGGGTGGAATATGCATGTATTATACATATACCCTAATAAACCTTTCTTAAGAATCATTCTATCTATTAAAACAAACTGCATCAAGATCCGTTGCGTAGTTCTAAAGATCTAAGCATACATAGGGACAGACAGACGGCGGATAGTGACTTTGTTTTATCCTATGTAGTGATAAATTATTAAGACTCAATTTTTTCCCATCAGTAAAGTTCGCAAAGCCTCGGGCTAAAAGACTATAAACTTTAATTATAACCGCGGCAACATCCTTAGAAATTAGTTCCTACGTCTACTCTAAACATGCTAGCCTGGTAGCCATAATTTGTAACTGACTGGCTACCTGATTGCCGATAGGATATTAAATTTGAACATCATCTGTTGGCTATTAATCATTCGCTAATCGATTACTTTATATGCTAAGGAGTAATCTGTTCATAGCTGTACACTCGTTTGCAGATTTTAGTAGATAGGGACTTTTAATGGATATGATAAGTTGGATACTATATACTATGTTTAGAAAAAGACTTTCTTAAAGGTATTAGAAACTGGAGTCGGCCAAAGTGTGGTCGCATTTTTGAGGGTTATGATATTTTCAAAAAAATGCTACTGAGAATGTTGGTGATGTATTGTGTCATCCTATAGCAAAATGAGACTTTACAACTGGTGGGACTGAATAAAATACTTTTGGACAATCAGGCACTGATCTAGCATTATAGTGATCACAAATGCCACTCTCGGAACAATAAAGAGTTAACCACCTCTCACCGAAACTGCAGCAACACATACCCAAACCAGTTGTCAAAAATCATCAGATTTTTTCTCATACTCAATATCCGTACTCAATCTTGCTGAGCAACCATTATCATGTAAAAAAAAATAACAACCGAACTTTATAAACACGATACTTTTATGAGGAAATTGCTTCTACAATTTGCGATCAACGCGCAGTGTCGGCGGTCGTTAAACAAGGCTGCGCTTGCACATGATGGCGCTACCGGGCACTTTGGACCTTTAGGGGGAGGGGGGAGGAGTAACGATGATAGTGAAGGGAGTTATAACGATCAAGCATAGTGGTAGGAGGTGGTCCAAGCATTTATCGTTGTTGTCAAATAAATAATTGAACGAGGCTTTATTGCTTAGTCGGAACTTTCAATTATTTTAATCAAATTAACGGCTGTTGATAGATTATGCTTAATGTGCATTTCTCAATAATTGTTATCGGTATAACTTATGTATTTATATCGTGTATCATATTCATCAGCAGATTCTATCAACTGCTCACCTTTTGCTTCCAACATTATGATAAGATCCACTTTTTATGAAACATATTTGAAACTATGTAGAAGCAGATTTAAAAATTGTTCCTACATAGATTTATTTTTACAATGACTAGACCAACAAGGAAGTCCCATGTATTAATTAAATTAAACATGACTAATGAAATCAGAGGGCTCAGTACGATTCGAGTACGAGCTCTGTCAAAGTCAAAATCATTTATTTCAATTAGACCAGTAAGGCACTTTTGAACGTCAAAATAAAATATTGAATTTGATACAAAATATTGGCATTCTCCAATGAACCATCCAATAAAATCGCCGAATGCGGTCTTCTTTTCAATATTTCAAATGAAAATACCTCACATCAAAAAACCAGAAAATACGAGATAAATAAAAAAAAACAAACATCTATTATTAGCTCAAACAACATAATAATCAAGATTTATAAAGAATATCAGCCGAACTAAATCAAAGGTAGTCCACATCTCAAGATTGGATCTTAGATCCTGCGTTTGCGCACCCAGTCGGTCCCGTAAAGCGCAGTGATTAATGATGATGACCCCCGCAATCATCTCGGTTCACTTCCGTGCGGGGTCCATGATGAATGGACCCCGTAGTGGTCTAATAGATAAGTGATGATAGTTATATTGCTCAGGGAACCTGATAAAAGGTTTTTGCTACTGGTGCCTAGGTTATTTGTAGCGGTTCTAATGGTGCAGTTTTTTGTATTACTTTGGCTCGCGTAGCTCAGCGTAATGCTGACGTTTGGGTATGAGTACGTTTGTTTATGGTACCTATAGCTGTGTATGGTTAACAATTACAACCATATTCCTTTCATAAACCTCAGTTTTACAGGAGTACTTTACTATTCACACCACAAACAACATTTTAGCACATTATACGTATACACGTGGATGATAGATACCAGAACAAAATGAATTATTAAGGCATAGTAATCAATAAATTAATTTACAAAATGTCATAAGTTACCGCCGCCAGATACACAGATTTTATGACACATTTCATAGCGGTGTCAGATGCAGTTAAAAATTGTAACAATTTATTGACGCTGTGACAAAATTTATGGTGGTAAGCCGACGAAATATGGAATTGCAATGCAATAAGATTTAAATGTACTATTGGAAAGGCCTATGATCAGTATTGGATGAAGACAGGCTGGTGAGGATAGTACTGAAGAATTAAGCAATGAGGTTACTGATGATGATGACGTTTTAAGTTATAAGCGAGAAATTTCACTTTTAAGCCTAATTTTAACTGTTATTTTCTCCATGTCTGGTTAGTAGGAAAGTGAAGTATATCATTGCCTTTAATACCTAATTTGTTGAATCAAAACTTGAACCGAGATTTCTTGCTTCATAGAAAGACTATTGGTCTCACCTTTAAAACAATACACTTAATGAGCCCTTTTAATCTTACAGCGAAAAAATATTTTCTGTTTTTTTTTCGGCTTAAAATTCTTCCACTACTTATTTTGATAAGTCAAATCTGACAAAGTTAACATACGACCCCTTAACTATATATTAACTAAAGGTTTGGCAATATTGTTTGCAATTTGATCTGATATGCGCAGGCGCTCGTGCCGCGCCCGTTCTCGATCGTACCCGATCGTACCCGATTGTGCCCGAGCGGCCGTATAAATCTTTCGTAATACGGACTTTAGTGATTTACATTGTGCCTTTAACCTTTATTGTGGAAATATTTAAATGTAATTACTATGATTTTTCGTAGATATTTTAGGTACTAAGTGCAGTTGAATGGCCTAACTGATTAGAAAAGAGAATGGTCGGTTGGGATTGGGATTTGGCTATGTACTATAATACCGTTTGGGAATGAGACATGGTCTTGTTAATTATCGTTTCATTAATGATGAGGGGCTTAAGGACTGTTTCTTTCTTATGAAGAAGAGAAGTATTTAAAGCTTTACTTTCTATAGATATAGATTTTTAATTCATCTTGGCCATATTTTTTGTACTGTCGTTTGTATTATCGAATCAATAGCTGGTATTTACCAAAATTCTCCGGTATTGAATTACTTTTACTAAGTTCATTTACAAGTATTTTACACACCTGTCAACTATAAACATTATTAAATACCCACTAAATTCACAAAGTCACATTAAATACAAGAAGACGTGTTAAACGGCTACCAAAGCGCAAATGTCCGAATTTAAAATCTGCACCAAATTCCGCACCGAAATTACGAAAGAGGTTTTACAGAAAAATTCAAACCTCCTTAATAAGCTTTATTTAAATCGTTTTAAAATTAAAAGTAATGACAATGAAAAAACATCGTCGCTGCTTTTTGTTAATTTCCCGCGCAAAATACTGTCATTTTAGTTAAAGAGGTTTTTTCGGTCTTGAGGTATGCTCGATCATAAATTTTTCGAAATTACCGAATTTAGGGTCGTAAAAAGAGGAGCTGTGGTCAAAGTTAGTGATTTCATGCATATTTAGAATGATGAACTTTTTAAAATTATTGTCGTAACAATAAAACTGACTAAACTGTCCAATAATTGCGAAGAAATATAGTTTTTTTGGAGGCTTCGAAACTTAATAGGAAACATTCAACTGTTGTACCTGGCTGGCGAAGATAAGCAGAAGGGTTTATATGTAACAGTAATTTTACGCATTTTAGTAGCTCCCATTTTAGTACTAAAAATATTATTTATCATTAATTTACTTTTTCCTTCTCCAGGCCCCTAGTCTGTCAGAACGGAGCGACTTGCACGAACTCAGTCGGTGGCTTCTCCTGCATCTGCGTCAACGGCTGGACAGGTCCAGAATGTTCTGTCAACATCGACGACTGCGCAGGCGCGGCTTGCTTCAACGGTGCCACCTGTATTGACAGGGTTGGGGCTTTTTACTGCAAGTGTACGCCGGGAAAGACTGGTAAGTAAACTTGAGTAGATTTTGTTTCTTTTTTTTCAGGGTTCTCTCTCTTAAGAGGCAACGTATTTGTAACTCCTCCGGTGTTGTGGGTGTCCATGAGTAGCGTTAATCGCGTACTATCCGACATTAATTTGCTCTTTTGCCCCTTATGCCATAAAAATAATTATGCCTAAATGATTAGGTCTATTTTAAGTGTTCCTATTGAAATTTTCGGAATGGCAAATGATCTATAGGCTATTTGTTCAGCAACCGCAACTTGCAACCATGTGTTAGTTTTTAGTCACAGTTATTAATAGATTTCTCATTTCTACAGGTCTACTTTGTCATCTGGACGATGCGTGTACCTCCAACCCTTGCCACGCAGACGCCATCTGCGACACCAGCCCAATCAATGGTTCCTACACCTGCTCATGCGCATCAGGCTACAAAGGGCTCGACTGTTCCGAAGATATTGATGAATGTGAACAAGGTAAGACATACATATTTTTATAATTTCTGATCAGTCAAATAAGGTTCTATCAGTACAAATATCTCAACTTTAAAGAAAATTGCTTCCTATATTAGTACATCATCATTTCATAATCGTGTAAACCAGTAATCTGAAAGTATAACAACAACATAACATAACATCACGCCTTTTTATCCTCGAAGGGGTAGGCAGAGGTGCACATTATGGCACTTAATGCCACTGTACAATGTAACACCCACTTTTCACTATTTATGTTATGAGTCCCATGTAATAGGGGGTGAGCCTATTGCCATATACCGGGCACAATTCCAGACTCCGTGCTACTACTGAGATTTTTAAAAACCCAGTAATACTTTGCCCGACCTGGGAATCGAACCTGAGACCCCTTGCCCGGCAGTCGCACTTGCGACCACTCGGCCAACGAGGCAGTCACTGAAAGTATGACTGCTTCTATAATTTACTAGGAGCATACAAATAAAGCCTATAGACCGCCACTAAGTTCTTAAGAAGTCAATCCTTACTATATAATATTATAAATCGGAAAGTGAGTTTGTTTGTTTGTTTGTTTGTTCCGCTTTCACGCTGTAACTACTAAACCGATTGCTTTGAATTTTTGCAGACGTAAAGTTAGACGTCTGGATTAAACAATAGGGTGCTTTTTATCCCGGAAAAATTTGATATTCCTGAGGGAAAACAAAAGAATTGGTATAGATGGCGCTGTGTGTATATGACACATTGGCTTTTTTTATCCTTTTGTGACGCGAGCGAAGCCGCGGGTAAAAGCTAGTAGTCAATAAAATCATCAGTTACTTAATACCTCTTCTTCTTTCACAGGATCTCCATGTGAACACGACGGTATTTGCGTTAACACCCCCGGGTCTTTCGCTTGCAACTGTTCGGTTGGGTTTACTGGACCGCGTTGCGAGACCAACGTCAATGAGTGCGAGAGCCACCCCTGTAGGAATGACGGTTCCTGTCTCGACGATCCTGGGACCTTCCGATGTGTCTGTATGCCTGGTAAGTGGAATTTTTATGGTTGTACATTATCTTTTATGTGTGTCTTCGATAGGACTTCTGGTTATTATTGAAAGGCGACTCCCGTCTTCGCTCTAACAAGGATTTTTCAAAGTTATAATACTTATATTGGTTTTTTGAGCTTAATTTCGAAATCTCCTAGCCATGTGTACGTTTAATAATGCTCGTATACGTTGTAAAATTCAAACATATGCTTTTGTGCCTTGAGAAATGTAGGTAAGCTTCACCATTCTTAATAGTGCAGTTAACTAAAATAACGACTAAACTAGCAATTAAATCCAAAGCAAACTGATCCGTTTTGGTGTTAGTCATTTGAAAGTGCCAAGATCGATAATTTACTTACTAGCATGAGCCTACATTAAAACCAGTTCCTGACTCATAGATTAATATTCAAACAACGGATTTATCTTTATAAACAAACACACAAATAGTCTTATCAGCCATCTCAATGACTATATCAGTAATTTGCATAAACTTGGACATTTACTGGACATTGTAATAAATAGTACTTACTTTGGTACTGTTAGTACAATCGGCAAATGTTTCAGATGCAGTGATTCTGCAGGACACGTGACTTTCCCAAATTCTGCTTAAGGTTATTTCAAAAGACAACTTAGTTAATTCGTTCGTCATATACTTGAGGGTATCGTAGAAAGATACAATTAACATAAATTATTTCTAGATTATTTTATATTGGTAAGTAAGGTTGACAAATTGTTTCAACCTATTTTAGTAGATTATTAGTTTGTTTTAATTTTAACATTCTATGCTACATACCTAACTATTGAGCATACAAAGAAAAGTTCAAAGAATCTCAAAGTCAAAGTCAAAATCATTTATTTCAATTAGACCAGAAAGGCACTTTTGAACGTCAACAAAAAAAAAATTAAAAGTGAAGCTATTTGCTCATTCCAAGGTGTAGATTCCCATGGAAAAGAACGAGCAAGAAACTCCATAGGTTACTCTTTTTCAATCAGGTTCACAATACAATTCTCTAGTTACATAGTTTTGTTGTTTGGATGATTCTCCTCTTATTGTTATGGTAGCAATTTGTAGATAGAATGTTACCAAACATTATATAAATGTACAGGATGACTAAAATATCGTAACTAAAATAAAAATAACAAGACGTAAAGTAAAAATAGTTAAGTAAACAGGTGACTAACACATTTCGCGAATAGTACCTCACTACAAGTGGGACTGTAACTTGTACGGTGTATTCTGTGCTAAAGCTTGACTGAAGTCGCTAACTTACAATTTGCTTCCAGTTGGCGGTATGCTTGATGATTATCATTAATTCCTATTAGACAGAGACGGGCGATAGACCGCGAGCCTAGGGTTGTTACCTTTCTCACTCTTTTTTACCAGTAGGTAATGTATTTTGAACTGCAGTAATTAAGAAATAGGGTTTGGAATGTATTTCAGGGCAAGTATGATATTTTACAGAACAATTTTCTCTTATCATAGAATGTAGGAAAAACACAGGAAACGATTATGCATAAAGACACGTTATTTTTCAAATGACAACGCATAGTTTCTAATAATAATGATTACAGCCTTGTTTTGCATGTAAATCGACGAAAAACTGCTCTAATTTCCAAACGCGCCGCAACCCTATGTAAGACCCGATTCCCATGGCGATGAGAGCGTCTGCGCCTGCGCATTGTCTTGACGCGGAAACGATTGCGCGCAAACCTTGCTATCAACGTCACAGTTAACGTAATCTTGCTACGCTGTACTTAGCACAGTACTATAATACGTAGCATTATTACTGTCCTCCCTTCCATATTTTCATTCAGGGAAATCTAGGAGCTTCTTAGCCAGTCTTGTGTGACGATTTAGCGGTTTGCGTGTGCTGTTTTCTTTTTTATGATGTAATACAGTGGGAGTCCATTTCGTTTTTGGATTGAAAATTATGTTTTTCACTGTGGATTCTTTTGTATCTCCGTTTGCATCCACTTCTTGTCTAGTTCTGATTTTATATTCTATACTTATATTAATCAATTTTAGAACAAAAAGTTTCAGCATACATCTAAGATCCTGTACTTTAGTTAGGCATACCAAGTCCACCTGAACTTAAGTTCACTATGAAGAATTAAAAACCTTATAAAATTAATTATATAACTTAAAAACAACATGTCATGTGCATCATAACAATAAAAACAAAACACTCAAATATAACCCAGACAATTTCAGATAGACATTAAACTATAAGAGCTACAGTGTATAAAAATGTACTATATTACTTGGTCGGTTTACCCATGGGAGTACAACCGTTCCAAAGACTGAGTTTGATCGCTCCATTGCGTTTCTGACATATTATAACGATGTTATGTCCACTATACTCGTGTTTTGAGTTAAATGGACTGTCTTATAGTCCTTTGGCTTTGAATATAAGGACTTACCTTTTTTGGTACATACTAATTTCAATTACTTTTACGGTGGGACATTATTCACTGAACTATCTAAGGCTTTTGATGAAACAAAATTTCTGCCATGCCCTGGTTTCTTTTCTTTAAAGTAAAGAAGGTTTAGATGAGAGAAGACGAGTTCATCAAAGACCTCTACAGAATCAACTTGCACGGTTCTCGCACATTATAGTTATAATCTGTCTGGACTTTAAAAGAGACAATGATCTCTGAGTTTTTTTTGCCGTTTCAGAGTAGTCAGTTGGGAAATGCCGGGCCTTCATCTACTAATTTAAAGATTGACGTGTAAAAGTGTTACTTTGTTGAAACCTATTTGCAGAAATAACTATCATTTCATTTCATTGTCAAACGCCTGAAATATTTAACTACCTCACTTGTTCCAAATTCCAGTTATGGGTTAGCCCTAAGTTTTCAATTAGGTACCTACTGTAATTAAGCGTCTACAGTAAACCTAGATAACTATGAAGTATCTACAATTCTCACGGTTTCTAGGGCATTAGGGCTTGAGTTATATCTATAAACAACATTAAAATGAGATGTGCTGATGATACCCTTTGACATTATGTTTAGCAATCACAGATCGTGTTAAAAGATTTTAACACTTGATGCTAATTAATTAGGGTTCTAAGTTTCTTATTTCCTGTCGAGTTTTGCAATGTGTTTGTGGTTTAACGGATATTGTTGCATTTGAAAACTCAGCCATGTCTTTTCTTTCATCTTTTCACCGTTTTATCTTTGCTTGTCTATTGCAGGTTTAGGTACTTTAAGCGATGCTTATTCCTCTGTTATTAATTCAGTAACATCTTTATTCCTAATTGTTATATAATCATAATGACCAATTTCTTCTTTGTCGTCCTCGTCTTTTAATGTCTTATGTACAAAAACACTATTATCATCTAAAGTTTTCAAAATATATGAATTTCTTTGACATTAGTAGGTAGTACATCTTTCAATGTTCGCTACGAATATCATGATACGTAGACCATCTAAATTCTAAAGGAATTCACAAAATATGAATGAAAGTTAAAAGCAGAACGTTCATTCAATAATCCATTGATTATCCCATGAGGTTAGGGGGGACTGTACTGTGTAGTAACCGCGTAATAAGATAACCGACTCCATAGACCTTATGACCTCACACTTCCTGTAAAAGGCGTTAATTATAGTCTGCTGAGGTTCCATTGGATTATAGGATCTTTGGTAAACGTTGAGTGTGAAGGTTCATGTACTATAATCATCTAGACTGTGGAGTGAAAATCTATTACGTTCTCAATTAAGAAGTAGTTAATCATTTATAAGCCGATGTCGTGTAAAGATTTCTCTATAATGGTTGGAACAGAGATTTCAGTAGTAGCACGGAGCCTGGAATAGTGCCCGGTATAAGGCTCACCCCCTATTACATGGGACTCATAACATAAATAATGAAAAGTGGGTGTTACATTGTGCAGTGGCATTAAGTGCCGTAATGTGCACCTCTGCCTACCCCTTCGGGGAAGAAAGGCGTGATGTTATGTTATGTATGTAGAGATTCAAATCTTGTGTTACATTCTAACTTCAATCGACAATCTTTCAAAGAAGTCATAGGAAATTTATGATTTTCTATGCTTAAGAATTCTATGAATAAGGATAAGCCCAAAAACGTTTTACCTATTAGATATCCATTCACTACAAATATTCTTAAAGTAAAATACCTACCATTGTACAAAATCTCAATAAAATCCGTTAAAACAGCATAGGAATGAAGTCGTCATTACATTGAGACCACAACTTCATCTGGTTTTGCTCGTATTACAGCCTGCGATGCTCGACTGAGCTCGAACTTGTCACGCCACTACAAATAAGGGCATGCCTGCACTGTATGACGACATTATAGTTTTTATAAAAACATCTCTGTAGGTCTTTGAACTGTAGCTTATAACCGTTTGACTTTTTCTTTAGTCTAGTATGTTTTAATATTCATATTTGTTTTTTTATGGATTATTTTATGTAACTAAGTATCAAGCTATTGTTTCCGTCGACATCATTATTTTATTACCGACAGACAATATCGAGTCATGTAACAATGACTTTAGTATTAAAAATCTTCTTTTGGGCTCTAAATCTATGTAACTGATTGAGGTAATCCGTTAAAGAGTTAATCAAACAGATCTTTTTAGGAATAAAAACCTTCAGTACATTATAAACACAAAAAACTCCGTAACAGTAACAGCCAACATGGAAGCCACAACAATAAATTTTCTTTTCAAAAACCATTTATGGAAGCAAACAGTTACCTAAGCAAAAAAATGCGCGCTATCTATCACTTTTTTGTCGTCTAGCTTTCAGCCATCAATCATATTCTCAAGAGGCTACTTTACTTTTTACTTTTCAAGCATAAGCACTCTTGAATACTGCTTGAGACTGTTAAGTAGGTAAATATAGCATTTTTACTGCCGACTGGCTGGTGACTGGACAATCATGCGGTCTTCGTCATCGATGACGTAAGAAACTGAAGAATTCCACACACCATTTTTCTATCTTAAGTTAGAAATTTAGAATGAAGATTATTAGAAATAAAAAGAAATTTAATGACGCAAATACATTACAATTAGCTTCATGACTTTCTGCCTAAGCTTTCTGCTGTCCTGATACAAACATTTACATTATAGAACGATGCTAAATGGTTGATTCTTTAGCACAGAAGTTAATTGTCATATCCAAAACGGTCCTCACCTATTTCTGTCTCCAAATACCGCTATTATTTTCCGGTTTTATGGTCTGACTTATAATTACAAGCATAACACAAGCTTTTGTGTCCAGACGCACCTGCAACAGATGCCTATACTCATTGGCTATTATTTGCTTCCCAATTACACTGGTCTATTCCACCCAAGGTCTCATGTTTGACTCGTAAAAAGTCTCAAAATTCCCACATTACCTGGTTTAACCCAAACAAATCCATAGTAATAAGTACATAATATTTAAAGCATTTAGATCCAGCTGGGCATATGTATTTAAAACTTGTATTAGCTATTCATATATGCGAATAGTGACCATTAGCATGCAAGGAACATTCTCATTGTAACTTGTGATCCGAAATCGTGACGGTGGAGGCACGGCGTAAACTGTACGAAGTATTGATAGTAGTGCGCTTGCTATATTTGAAGCTTGGGGATTAGTGAAGGGGTTACTGGAGTTGCATAGAAAAGTCTAACATAGTCTGTCTCCGCATACACCTAAGAGACGGGACTTCAGGATGGTTTTTTGTCAGCACGACACGGATATTCCTCCATAAAGATATACTTTAATCGTTAAACAAGATAATGTTAAAGAAGGTTTATATTCGGATTATTATTTGTAGTGAAAATGTTATGCACTGCTTCCTTATTTAATCTTTATCTTAGAGGAGGTATGAAACGATTGCGTATGATCACTTTATCTTTCCTATATGAAGTTCGTCACTTCTTGTCCATTTCACTACTTACCTTTCAAGTTCACAACTAGCTAAATCGCTTCTCTCTCATGTCTTAATCCTAAAATGACCAGTCCAGACGCCAGCGCAGAGGCGGGGCATCCCTCCCATAGGTCGCCATAACCACTCAATAGCCGAGTCTCTGAAAGCAATAACATTTGTTTTATAACCATTGTTTTGGGCTATCGTAATAGACTGAATTTAAATTATTCTTTGAACGAAGGTATCATGAAGATACACACAAAAGTTTGAATTAAAGAGTTAGTTATATTGAAAAACGCTTTGATTAGAATTGTAGGGAGATATGAAGTAAATTAGGAATCGGAATATTCGGAATTGAGAATGTTCTTGTATTTTGCCGTTTTTCTTTGGTATGATGCTGAGAGAATCTTGTTGAAGAAGCGATAAAGGTTTAAATTAATGCGATAGCTTGAAAAATCCTCAAAATCTTTACATAATGGTACTCTAGGTACTAATATAATGTCGCGGAGAACCTAACGGGTAACCGGGGTTCCGGCTCGACGTGCAGGAGAAGGAACGGGGTGGTTTTTAGTCAGTAAGAGTCTGATACTCCCTCCCGCCTCACCCAGGCGGGAGCAGTCATTCGATGATTTTCCCCCCTTAAAAAAAAAGTACTAATATAATATAGTGTTTTTTATTGTTAACAACAGTATACAATGAGTCAATGATATATTATATTCAAGTGCTGCGGTTTCCCTTGTCTAAGAAGTGTCATGATGTCATGTCGCCAGACATAGCTTCGACATAAAAGTGACTATTTACTTTGCAGTGTAGTTCTTCTATTTTGGATTCCATTCCTTCATTCTGGTTTAGAACCTGTACCAGATAATTACACTGATCTTTACGTATTTTTCTTTAACCGAAGTGAGATTCTACCATTCTAGAACTACCATTTAAATATTTAATTTACTTAAAAGGAATTAAATGATCATATATTACATATTTTTACGATATAAAATGAACTTTAATCCTACAGGCGTAAGCGTCATTCAACTCTCAACAATTTCATTTTTTGCTATGCAGAACCACATTCCCAATTTGGCGGGATAGTGATTTTCTTAAGAATAACATCACCAACTTAATAAGTTACGTAACCAAACGACTATGAACTTTATATCAATACAATAGAGGTCATGAAACCGCAGCTGTATTTTTGCTTCTTTAAAAGGGCAAACTCGATACTGGTCGGAGCTAGATTGTCCTGCCTCGAGCACTGCTTTATTCGTCATTCAAATATCAACTTAAACTTTACGATTTACAGTTGATATTGGTTTATGGCTTTTTAAAGTCCAGTCGAGTGTAGGACAGAGGGAACAATGGAGGATATTGAGTTTTATTTAAGTGGGTTAAGGTGGGTTTTTGAATGGGATGAATGATGGTACGGTTTTGATGGGATTGGAACGCTGATGTCAATTAGCATTCTAGAGGGACGGGGTCTATGGTATAAACATAAAATCTCATTGCCTGTCATAATGGTATTCATGTGAAGCCTGGGCTTTGTGAATGACGTACAACTTGATATTAGGATAATAGGAGACTGATGGAGTTAATTATATGTTTTTTATCGCTTTCATACTTTGTACTGCCGTATACAAATTGTCTAATTTATTGGCTTATTGACTAGGAGAATGATTGCATAACATAACATCACGCCTTTTATCTCCGAAAGGGTAGGCAGAGGTGCACATTACAGTACTTAATACAATGTAACACCCCCTTTTCACTATTTATGTTATGTATGAGTACCATGTAATAGGGGGTGAGCCTATTACCGTATACTGGAACTGGAACAATTGCAGACTCCGTGCTACTACTGATTTTATTTTTGAAACTCAGTGATACATTGTCCGACCTGAGAATCGAACTTGCGACCCCTTGCCTTGAACTTGCGGCCACTCGGGCAATGAGAATGATTGCGCTGAAATGTACTGAATTTGTTTTTTTTTAATGAGTTTACGAGAGAACAAATCACCACAGAGTCTTTGCAATAGGCCTTATCTGCCATTGTGCCGTTCAAATGCTCATCATTAACAGCCTATAAATGCCCACTGCTGAGCAAAGCCTCTTCAAACACGGAGAAGGTTTGAGCATTAATCACCACGCTTGCTCAATGCGTGTTGGTGATTTGAAACTTATAATTAGAAATTATAAGTCCAGGTTTCCTCACGATGTTTTCCTTCACCATTTGTCAGTGGTGTCTAAATAATCTTAGAAAGTACTTATGACTCGGAAAAAGTCACATTGGTACTTGCCGTTGGTAGGTTTCGAACCAGCACCCTCATGTATGAGAAGTGCGTCATAAACCTCCGGGCTACCACGACGTAACATATTAAAATGGTCATATTAAATGTTATTTTCTCTCTTTTCCAGGGTTCACGGGAACACAATGCGAGGTGGAGATAGACGAGTGTGCCAACAATCCCTGCTTGAACGGAGGCATCTGTCATGACATGATCAACGCATTCAGGTGTACCTGTGTTATAGGGTATGTATCATAGCCATTTATTCGCTGCTTTTTCTCGTAAATGGATTCACTAATATCAAAGTCAAAGTCAAAGCATTTATTTCAATTAAACCATAATTTGGTACTTTTGAAACGTCAACAAATACAAAATAGATAATCGTCCGTCAGTCAGTCCGTCCGTTCGATGGGAATATCTGTATGTCGGGTCGGCTGGAGTTAAATCATTAGATTATCGAAATTATAAGTCTGTTTTTTTTGGGGCTGTCCGGGGTAGTGCAGGTTATGTTTATGTAGTAAGCTACATTTGAAACTGATTATAGTATTTGTCTATTTATAAAGCGATTGGGAATGCTGAAGGGACATTTTTGCTTTGATAGCTGATTAAATTTCTTTCATTATGCTACCAAGACATTTACATGCTACAATTTGTATTTCAAATACACATATACATATATAACATCACGTTTTTCATCCCCGAAGAGGTAGGCAGAGGTGCTCATTACAGCACTTAATGCCTCTATACCTACAATGTAACACCCACTGTTTACTATTTATGTTATGAGTCCCATGTAACAGAGAGTGAGACTATTGCCATATACCGGACACAATTCCAGACTCTGTGCTACTACTGAGAAAACCTAGTAATACTTTGCCCAACACGGGAATCGAACCCGAGACCTCTTGCCCGGCAGTCGCACTTGCGACCACTCGGCCAACGAGGCAGTATTTCAAATATTCTTCATATCATCGTAAAAGCTAATAAAATTAACGCCATATCTTCAAACCCTCAGGTTCACGGGAGCTCGTTGTCAAGTCAACATAGATGACTGCGCTTCAAGTCCATGTAGGAACGGCGGCACCTGTCATGATTCCGTGGCTGGATATACTTGTGAATGTCCACCTGGGTACACTGGTAAGTCAATGTTTAAATGTATATCTTATACTTCTTATATACTATTATATAAAGCGGAAGACTTTGTTTGTTTGTTTGAACGCGCTAATTTCCGTAACTACAAGTCTGATTTGAATAATTCTTTTTGTGTTGGATAGCGCATTTATCGAGGATGGCTATAGGCTATAAAATATCATGCTACGACCAATAGGAGCTGAGCAAAACGTGTGAAATTAATGATATAGTGAGACATACTATTGAAAAATACTAAAAGCTCAATAAGTTTCAAGTCAAACCGGGACTCATATTCGTGCACTTGTCCTGTTAAAGTGTACTCAATGATGGGTTTAGCAAAATTCTTCTTTCATTTATACGTCTGATTCTTGAGCAAAACTTTAGACAACTATTCCTTATATTTAACACTTATGAATACAAGGATGGAAGTCATATTCTAGAAATAACTAGTTTGAATAATAAAGTTGTTATTGTTAATAATACAAACATTCCAACATTGCAACTTTAGCCTGTTATTATAGACAAGTTAATAAGCCTATGTTACTAATGTGAATCAGTCTGATGACGTGTTGCTGTTGTGACGTCATTTTAGACCAATCGTATCATGTACATAGAAAGCTTTTATTTGATAGTACTTACTATACTATGGGCAACGAACTATAATCTACACCCTACTTGAAACGTTTAACCCGTCGAGCGTCCGTGTTCCTTATGATCCAACGGGTGCACACGTGACATTTGGAGCATTTTTTCTTATGATCCACCGGGTGCTCATAAGGACGCTCGAGGGGTTAATATTTTTCTATTAGATGACTATTTAAACATATTTTTTATTATCTTACAGAAACGAATACTTTTCATGATAATAATATGTTGATTTGAAATGTCGCTTGACGTCACTTCTATGTACATTTTGTATGTAGAAACTTCGTAGAAATGACGTGTTAGCAGAGGAGCGGGACTCGTAAACTTTGATTCGTTTTATCTCAGTATGGTTTTCTTATATGAGAAAAAAAAGTATACAATGTTATCATTGCCTAACTGACGGACTAATTAAATTTTTAATTGTCGTACCCTGTCATCATCCCTATTTCACATGTATACATTGTAGACGCTAAAGAAGAACGGCTTTGTTTTACAAATCAATATACAAATACCTTTCTTATTCCAGGAATGTCATGTGAGACGAACATCAACGACTGCTTATCAGCCCCATGCCACCGCGGCGAGTGCATCGACGGAGACAACAGCTTCACCTGCAACTGTCATCCAGGCTACACCGGCAGAGTCTGTCAGACTCAGATCAATGAGTGTGAATCCAATCCCTGCCAGTTTGGAGGTAAGACTTGATATGACTGTATATTGCCCGTTCTCACCAAGGTCTTCTAAATATGAAAGAGGGGTTCCTTCAGCTGAGATTTTGGTTTCCACCGACTTATAAGTGACACCTAACCTTACCTACAAGTAAGGGTTAAGGATACTAATTGATTAATGGTAAGCAATCAGCGCCGCCCATGAACACCTTCAACACCAAAGAAAATGGTGCCTTGCTGGTCTTTTGGCGAGTACCCTCTCAAATTCCGTTCATCATTGATAGGCCAATTCTCTCTATGAACGCGATAAACTCTTCCACACAGATTTTTGTACGATTTTCATCAATAAATAGTGTCATTCCTTATTACACCATCAGCCTATAAGTGCCCACTGCCCAGTAAAACCCTCTTGCACGAAGAAAGTTTTAGTATACGAGCATTAATCAACTAATCATAACGTCAGTCAGTACATAAAAAATCTTCTTTCTTCAGGACATTGCGAGGACCTCATAGGCGGGTACCAGTGCCGCTGCAAGCCTGGCACATCAGGTCGCAACTGTGAGATCAACGTCAACGAGTGCTACTCCAACCCCTGCAGGAATGGCGCCACATGCATCGATGGCATTAACAGGTGAGGAACAAGCGAATATCAACCTTATGTTAGATGACTTTATAGTAGTGTTTTAGTTAAGAATTTTAATGTCTTTTAGTGCTTTTTGGATTGCACTTAATTCTTACTGGATATGTGGGATTAAATTGGAGTTTGGTATGCAGGAATGATGCATCCTATTAAATATTCAGTTTTCAGATTTAGACAGTGACTGAACCATAGTCAAGAAATTATGCAAAAAATAATCATTTAAAAATATTTTCACTTCAGCATAATATTATCCAATCAGAATAATTGTGGGTCTATGGGGGTTTCATTTATTTTATTTACTACATATTTATTTCTTTCTTAATCAAAATTTTAACGCTTTTTATTTTCTTTACATGCAGCAATAACTATTTTGAGTAAGTTTCAAAGTCATTTAATAAGAGCATGATTCGTTATCTTTAAATACGACATCAAAGTCAAATAAATAAACTTTGATTTCGTATGTTTGTTTGTTTGACCTGCATGTAATAGAAATAATATCTACTATAATAATGACGAAGACGAGACTTATTAAAATACTGTCTCTGATAATAATTTTATGCACGATTTTTGGTTTCTGTGTATTTATTAATTTGGTTTTACCCCTTGTAAATGTCCTATCTATGAAGTGCACTATAGATTGGGTTAATTTTCCCGGATTGAACAAATCTTCATTTAAGAATATTTTCTGAATTAACACCCGATTATATGGGACTACTCTTTCCATTACTGATATCATACCTAGCATCTCCTATCTCTCGTAACTCCTATCTGACATCACCCTGGTCTCCCCAGGTACACCTGCGAGTGCATCCCAGGGTTCACGGGTCAGCACTGCGAGACCAACATCAACGAATGCCTGTCGAACCCCTGCGCCAACGGTGGAAAGTGCGTCGACAGGATCAACGGATTCCGGTGTGAATGCCCTAGAGGATATTATGACGCTAGGTACGAACGGTAGTAGGGTAATGGATGCTGGAACAACCACTTTTATCGGTTTTGGGATTAATTTTACCAGCCAACATGGAAGAAGAAACAAAGCAACTGCTAATGTCTTCGATAAACCGAACGAAATACTTAAAAGAGTCTCACAGCAAATTCTTAGAGTGCTTTATAAGTAGAATAGACGTTCTTTAAGTTCTATGTCCTATATTTAGGCATTGAAGTTAGAATAACTAGAATAAGAGAAAACCATCATCATTACCTCACCTTAGCCAGCTTTATAATCTATTTTGAACTTATCTTTAACGTCCCATACTTATTTGACCCTGCCGAATCCTCTTGGACGTCTTTAATTCTTCGAATGCTGATCTCCCTCCCTTGCTGATTATTTATTGGTTTTAAATGCTTATAGAATGATTGTGTCCTTTGCAGATGTTTGTCCGACGTGAACGAGTGTGCATCAAACCCCTGCATCAATGGTGGTTCCTGTGAAGATGGAGTGAACCAGTTCATCTGTCATTGCCTGCCCGGTTATGGTGGTCAGCGGTGTGAACGAGACATTGACGAGTGCAGTTCAAACCCGTGCCAGCATGGAGGAACTTGCCATGATAGGCTGAATGCTTATAAGTGTGACTGTGTACTTGGGTTTACTGGTAAGTTCTGGTACCTTATGATCATATTGCTGGAATATAGTTTCATTATGAGAATAGATTTCTTCTTGATTTTTTGTCGAATTTGGTGGTATATCCTTTTGGTTCGTCTTACATTGAGTGTGTAAGCATTGAGTTTGAAAATGTGGTATTTCCTTATCAGCACATCACCTTGATGTTGATGTCCTTTGTTGTACTATTCATAGAATAACCATGATGAGCTACAATACCTGATTCTAGCCTTCTATATTCACCTCCGAACCCATAATATAATTCGCGAAATGTGATTGACGTCATAGCTTCTCTTTAGTGAATAAAAAATGTTTATATCTTCTGTACAGGTGTAAACTGCGAGACAAACATCGACGACTGTGCGGGCAACCCGTGCCTGCACGGTGGCTCGTGCATAGATCTCGTCAACGGCTACCGCTGCGTCTGCGCACCTCCTCATTCAGGCCGTAACTGCGAGAACACACTCGATCCTTGTACCCCTAACCAGTAAGTATTCGTAAATATTTTGATTTTGGTTACCTATTGTATTTCAAAGAAATTTGGTTGAGATTTTTAACATTACTTTAGTTACGTCAAAGAATCAATAATTTATCTTTAGGACGATAACAAGCAGTTTCTTATTGTTTTATTTAAAATAAATGTCTCGACTTTTGACCTTAAGTCTCTGAGTATTGTCGCGGAGAACCTAACGGGTAACCGGGGCTCCGGCTCGACGTGCAGGAGAATTCACTCCATGATTTTCCCCACTTAAAAAAAAGTCTCTGAGTATTGAAGGCAAATTCATCTGCGATTTTTAAAACAATTTCAAATTAACTTTTTACTAATTTTCTCTTCTGTCAATTCTGTAAAATTTTTAACCAACGAATTCCCTTTCTAGATGTCGCCACGGTGGTCGTTGTGTAGCCGAAGCCTCATATGCGGAGTTCACCTGTCAGTGCCCCGTCGGCTGGACTGGCGCCCTCTGTGAGCGAGACGTGGACGAGTGCGCTGTCACCGCGCCCTGTCATAATGAGGCCACGTGTATTAACACTGAGGGGTCTTACGCTTGTCTATGTGCGAGGGGCTATGAGGGGAAGGACTGCGCTATTAATACTGATGATTGCGCTTCTTGTGAGTATAGAATTTGATATCATTTATAGACCTGGGATTTACAACATGGGGTTCTTCAAGAGGGGAGTGAATAGGTTTCTTAAGGGTCGGCAAGACGCATGTAATGCCCCAAGTGTCGCAGGCGTACATAGGCTACGGTAACCGCTTACCATCAGGTGGGCCGTGTGCTTTTTTGCCACCGTCGTAGTATAAAAAAAGACCTGTGAAGATGTAATTTGCTTTTAAATCATGGAGTAGATGATTTAAAAGCAAATTACAGAAGACCTTCAGAAGTTGCTGCAGTCACTATAAGCTTTATATGTATGTCCTGTTGTATTAAAGGATGGTTTTTCGTTGTTCTGACAATTATATTTATACTCTTGATAACTGTTTGTGAAATGTGAATGTGAGTGTCTTTCCTAAGACTCTAAAGTCTTAGGAAAGACACTCATCACAATCGTTTCAGTTCAGTTCAGTTCAGACTGAAACGATTTTGATGAATTTCTCTACAAAAAGTGTTAAATATAGTTTTAGAGTATTTAGACTGTTGGTAATGCTTTGTTTTATGAGAAATCTAATAATCGTCTTGATCCGATTTTAAAGTAATAAAGTTCAAAGTAATAAATTATACTATATTCCACAGTCCCCTGTCAAAACGGAGCGACATGTCTGGACTCGATCGGCGACTACAACTGCGTGTGCGCAAGCGGGTTCGCGGGCAAACACTGTGAGGTTGACATTGACGAGTGTCAGTCCAGGCCGTGTATGAATGGAGCTACTTGTAATCAGGTGAGAATATTGTAACGTCTTTATTTTCTTAGATTTTATCCAAATAGGTTAAAATTGTAGACTTGTACATACTTAAATTAATAAATTGCCTTTGCTCCGCGCACTCAAAGTTTGATTAAGTAGCAGATTTCATTGCGTATTGTCGGTTCGATTTCCGCGTTGACCATAAATGTTTCTGATCTGCAATTGTGTTTGGTTCGCTAAATTTTTGATAATTATTACATATATATATATATATATATATATATAAGGAGAACATAAAAATCAAACTGCTTATTATATCTATTCAGACAATTTTAAACTCTAAACCCTTTACATATAATCTATTATTCCTTTTCAGTACGTGGCCTCATACACCTGTACGTGCCCGCTCGGTTTCTCCGGCATCAACTGTCAGACGAATGATGAAGATTGTACTGAGTCTAGTTGTATGAATGGAGGCACCTGTATCGATGGCATCAACTCTTATAACTGCTCCTGTCCGCTTGGGTAAGTTATTGTGAAATGAACCTTGTGATTGTTAGTATAAAGTTCTTGTTTGGTGTGTCAGTTGAGGGTTTTAAAACTATAAGATTTTATTCAATAAATCCGATTTATTGTACTTCACATCTCTAAAGGCGTCTAATGTTTTATAAAGCCTTGTGAATTTTTGCTGATGCCAAGCATATTGGTTTGTCAATGTTTAACAATAATAATCATGCTGATTTGACTTATCTGACCGCTCTCCACTTACTCTATTATAGACCTTATTTTCGATGTTTAGCGATTACTTTTCTATGAACAAATGTTGTGAATTTTTCATAATCGTCATCTATTAAAAAGCGCCATCTATTAAAACAAAATTGAAAATCCTATAGACGTTAAAAAAGACTAACATTTATTTCATAGATCAAATTTGAACTTTTAGTAAAAGTACCTATAGTTAGTATTCTTTATCCCTGTTTTATAATATTAATCCTGTTTTTCCTATTACAGTTACACCGGATCAAACTGTCAGTTCCGTATAAACATGTGTGACAGCTCTCCGTGCGACAATGGCGCCACCTGTCATGACCACGTCACGTACTACACCTGTCACTGCCCCTACGGGTACACGGGTAAACACTGCGAGAATTATGTTGATTGGTAAGTTACCATACACTATACTATACACTAGGTCATAATTATATGTTAAACAGAACTATTTAATTTGATATGAGTGACTTGAATTGTTTAAATAACATGACATTTGATCCCGCCTTTTATCTTCGATGTGGTTGGCAGATGTGCACCTTATGGCACTTAACACCACTGTACAATATAACACACACTTTTCATTATTTATGTTATGAGTCCCATGTAATAGGGGGTGAGCCTATTGCAATATACCGGGCACGATTTCAGACTCAGTGCTACTAGTGAGATTTTTTTTTTCAAAATCACTGTAATACTTTGCGCTACCCGGGTTCAGTCGCAGTATTGAATTCGATCTCAATTTATACACTGATGTAGTAAATGCACTAAAACGCAATAATGATGATTATTATTAATTACATTTCAACTTTTGAGTTCTTGACTTTCAGAAATATCAGTATGTACTCGAAATTTAACACAACCACAAAACATCTATCCGCAGCTCACTGAATAATTGGCTTAATTGAATACTTACGATTCTTACAATCATACAAATATCTAAACCCCTTCTTCCTCCGCAGGTGTGAAGTCAATCCATGTGAGAATGGCGCCACATGTTCCCAAAAGGGTCCTCAGTACACCTGCACCTGTTCCCCTGGCTGGTCCGGCAAGCTCTGCGACGTCGAGATGGTGTCCTGTAAAGACGCTGCTATCAGGAAAGGTATGGATTTCAGAGGTAATTTAGTGTTAAATACTTAACAATTGCTTATCTTAGACTTTTGTTACAAATTATTTATTTATCGCTTCGTTGTTAGAAACTGAAAATAATTAGAAATCTTTCTTTTGATAGAGTATGTCGTTACTAATAAATCAATACTTTGTCCTCAGGAGTAAAACTAAAGCAGCTTTGCAACAACGGCTCATGTGAAGACATCGGCAACTCGCATCGCTGTCACTGTCTCGAAGGCTACACTGGGTCTTACTGTCAGAAGGAAATCAACGAATGTGAATCAGCACCGTGTCAGAATGGAGCCGTCTGCAAGGATCTAGTAGGAACATACCAGTGTCAATGTGCTAAAGGATTCCAAGGCCAGAACTGCGAACTGAACGTAAACGACTGTCTCCCCAACCCTTGCCAAAACGGAGGAACATGCCACGATCTCATCAATAATTTCTCCTGCTCCTGTCCCTTCGGTACTCTTGGAAAGATCTGCGAGATCAACGTCAATGACTGCAAGCAAGACGCCTGTCATAACAACGGTACTTGTATCGACAAAGTTGGAGGCTTTGAGTGCAAGTGTCCACCAGGTTTCGTTGGTCCAAGATGCGAAGGAGACATCAACGAATGTCTATCCAACCCATGTTCAGTACCTGGTACTCAAGACTGCGTCCAACTTGTCAACGATTACCATTGTAACTGCAAACCAGGGTACATGGGAAGACACTGCGATGCCAAAGTCAATTTCTGCGCAAACTCCCCCTGTCAGAATGGAGGTATTTGCACCGCTATACAAGGAGGACACGAATGCCTCTGTAACGATGGCTTCTATGGTAAGAACTGCGAATATTCTGGCTACGCTTGCGATTCCAATCCATGTCAGAATGGAGGATACTGTAGGACATCTGAGATCGGTGGCTACGTCTGCGATTGCCCATCAGGATTATCAGGCGTAAATTGTGAAATTGATTCAATGAACGAGTGTCTCAGTAATCCTTGTAAACATCCAGAAGCAAGATGTATAGACAAACCTGGGGACTACCTTTGTTACTGCCCACCGCAATGGACTGGCAAGAGCTGTGATATCCATGATCCTCACTCCAGAGGAGGCTACGGTATTCCAGTCAGCGGAGGATTCAGTCCTAAGAAACCAGGCATCACCTTTGAAGAAATGGATTTGGCTTATCAGAAGGAACAGTGTGTGAAGAAGGGCTGCAAAGAAAAGCAAGGCGACCACCACTGTGACGAGGAATGTAATACGTACGCGTGCGAGTTTGATGGTAACGACTGCTCTTTAGGAGTGAACAATCCTTGGGCAAACTGCACGGCGCCAATCAAATGTTGGGAAGTCTTCATGGATGGCGAGTGCAACGAAGTGTGCAATACACAAGCTTGTTTGTTCGACGGCAGAGATTGTCAGAAGTCCTTACAACGTTGTAATCCGATCTACGATGCGTACTGCCAGAAACATTATGCTAACGGCCACTGTGACTATGGTTGCAACAACGCTGAATGTAACTGGGACGGACTCGACTGTGAGAACGAACCTCCTCACTTGGCCGAAGGTGTGATGTCAGTCACTTTACTCATGGACATGAAGACCTTCAAAGAAAACTCCGTCGCCTTCCTCCGAGATTTAGGTCATCAGTTACGAACTACTGTCTTGATAAAGAAAGATCATTTAGGAAACGACATGGTCTATCCATGGAAGGGATCTACCGACGTTGGATTACAGGATACGGAGTTTGGAAAGAAACACAACATCGTTTTTACAGAGAGGGGGCAATCTGGAGTGCAGGTGTACCTAGAAATTGATAACAGAAAGTGCACGTCTATGCTGAGCTCTGAATGCTTCTTCTCCGCGAGAGAAGCTGCAGAGTTCTTAGCGGCTACTGCTTCTAAACACTCCTTATCTCCAAACTTCCCAATTTTCCAAGTGAAGGGTGTCAACACACCTGATGATCCTAACGGCGTACCAACCAACTCAAAATACGTGTTCATCGGAGTAATCCTGGTGCTTCTTGCTGGTTTACTTATTGGTGTACTAGTAACAGCTCAGAGAAAGCGAGCAGCTGGTATAACATGGTTCCCTGAAGGTTTTATCCGGAACAACTCGTCGACGAGACGTCGATCACGCAGACGTGGTCCTGATGGACAGGAGATGAGGAATTTGAACAAAGGATCTATTGGTTGCATCGATGTGGACATCAATGGAGGTCATATGGGACCTCCTCATCATTGGTCGGATGAAGATGATGATGGGTCAGCGCCTCCAAGAGCGAAGAGAGCACGTGGGCCTGGAGATTCTAATGGAGCTCCAGGCGGCTATGCTTCAGATCATACTGCGATTACGGATTATGAGGAGGCTGGTCATGATGGCAGAGTTTGGACGCAACAGCATTTAGATGCAGCTGACATCAGAGTACCTCCGAGTATGATGACGCCACCGGCTATCGTAAGTATTCAAACTTATTCAAGTTAATTCTGTATAATCTCTTACTTTGAATTAACCTCTTATATAATTTTTGCATTTCAATTAATTATTGTTCTCTTTTCCAGCATGATGGTCACGTAGAAGTGGATGCTCGTGGTCCACTTGGTATGACTCCACTTATGGTGGCTGCCGTACGTGGTGGTGGTCTCGATACAGGATCAGACGCTGAAGACGAACAGACTGCTCATATTATATCAGAGCTGGTGGCTCAAGGCGCTCAGCTGAACGCTGCCATGGATAAGACTGGAGAGACCAGCTTGCATTTAGCTGCTAGGTAAGGCTACTTTAATTTCTTTATGTATATTTATTTATTCGAAGGAGTACGGCCACATCACAAACATATAACATTCAAAATACACAATAGTAACAAAATAAAGGACTGATGCATGCGACAATATTGGTGTGCATAGCATTGGCAATTCATAGGCTTAACAATGGCTTAAAAATAAAGTCCAATTTGAGAATTATGGAAAAGAAAATAACAACAATAATCCACACCATATACACATTAAAATGACAATTTTAACAAGTTCAATTTTCAATGTAATTATCATAATATGTCTGATTAAAACAAAACAAATTAACAACAAAAATTAATTAGTATCTATGTCATATTAAGTCTAATAATAATTTAATACAAATATAATATAATACAATGTTAAATTACCGTCTTATGTAACTTATAAGAGGGACTGCACTGAATACAATTGTAGACTTTGTGCTTCAAAGTTATCAACCTTTGAAAATCTTATCCGGTGTATTTAATCTAAACCTTCTTCCCAAGGTATGCTCGAGCGGACGCAGCGAAGCGTCTCCTGGATGCTGGAGCTGACGCCAATTCCCAGGACAACACTGGTCGTACTCCACTACACGCGGCAGTGGCTGCTGATGCCATGGGAGTCTTCCAGATCCTCCTCAGGAACAGAGCCACAAACCTGAACGCGAGGATGCATGATGGAACCACACCACTTATTTTGGCTGCTAGGTAAGTCAAAGGGTATAAGTTAGTAAAACTTTGCCTGTTATTAATTAGCTATAGTTAACTAATATTAGCAGTATAATGATAGCAGTCCTAATTAGCAGTCTCGTCATATGTCGGTTTATATGTATTGAAAGTTTAAATATGGTGTTCAGCTTATAATACTTCCTAATTTACAATTTTAAATAGAGAATCTTTATTGTCCTGTTAAAATAGTTCCTATTTAACTTTATCATGTGGTACATTTCCCGGGTCATAAAAGCAGCTAACTACTTTTTTATTTCTACTCAAGAATGCAAATTAGTACTTAGACTCTTATAATAATAATAAAGACTAAGAGGGAGGTCAACAACCTCTTGTTAAATCTCAATTTCTCTTCTCTAAATATAATGTGTATCCCCCTACAGGCTAGCCATAGAAGGAATGGTGGAGGACTTAATAAATGCGGACGCGGATATAAACGCGGCAGACAACAGTGGCAAGACCGCGCTGCACTGGGCCGCCGCCGTCAACAACATCGATGCAGTCAATGTACTGCTCACTCATGGAGCTAACAGAGACGCGCAGGATGATAAAGTAAGTGATTTTGGATGGTCAATGAGATTTTTTAAATTTTAATGACAGTGTTGAATAGACTATAATTAATAGTGGTTTCGCTATGAAAAACAATCGTTAGCCATGATAAGGCCAAAAATTTTACCATGTTTCATTAGGTTTCGATTTTTTGACACTTGAGCAAGATACCAGTTATCTTGCTAGGTTAAAGCAAAAATATACGTAAACAACAAAAATCTAAATAACTATAACGCGTGTGTGATAAAAGTATTCTCAACTATTACATATAGGTCCAAAAAAAATACAGAGACCATCCTGACCAATGTTCTAACCTTCTTTATTTCCAACAGGACGAGACGCCCCTCTTCCTAGGAGCTCGCGAGGGTTCATACGGGGCGTGTCGAGCACTCCTCGACGCGATGGCTAACAGAGAGATCACGGACCATATGGACCGGCTGCCCAGGGATGTGGCCCAGGAGAGGATGCATGATGACATCGTCAGGCTACTGGACGAACACTGTCCCAGGCCACCGCCACAACATCATCATCTTATGCGTGAGTATTTTGGACTTATAATAAATTTTGGAAGTGTTTTAGGAAATTTTCTGTGGCTTTATGCTGTCGTGGTGTATTTTGTATGAGATTTGTCTTTAGACATATGACAAGGTGGATTTTAATAATGTTTCTATGTCTTCAAATTTAGAAGTTAAAGTAATTATGACAAACTATGTATGAAGGAACGTGGTACTTATGCCACAGCACTGTTTCTATTCCTTATGTTGTGACAGACGACACCTCGTATTTTGACTCTGAAAAGTTAAAGTGATTCTAAAAACCATAGTTTTAGGTTAGTCCCTTGAAAGATTTAAAAGCAATTGTGTCTTTTAACCAAATAATAATTGAATCTCCTTCCACAGCTTCTCCAAACCCGCACCCGCAGCTGATCAGTCAGCCGACTGTCATCAGCACGGCCTCAAAAGGGAAGCCGAAGAAGTCGCGAGCGAAAGCCGGCCCCGACAGCCCCGACCAGGCATACGACAACAATAACTTGCAGACTACGCAAATTAGACGGTATGTTAGATGTTTATAGAGTATGTTTTTGAACTATAGAAGGGATATAAAGTTACGGGGTTCTTGACGGAAAGCGGTAGCTTATTTGGATGTTTGCAACACTAGATGAGATGTCTAAACATAAATTTTGCAATAGTAGGACATAGTTTGGTTGTACCAAACAACAAAAGGATATCTGTATCCCTTTAGGATTACTATTTGTTCATTGATAATGTTTCAAGACTAATCAGCCTAGCCTTGGTTATTTGTAATTGAAAATTATAAAGCAAGAGTGTAGAATTATCATATTTCATATATTTATTTAAAATTCTCTATAAATTACATTTTTAAAAACTACTTACAAAATAAAAAAAATGATATTTAAAAATATAAAAAGAAAAACATTACCCTCCTTCTTTGGCAGTCGGGTAAATAGGAGCCGATCAGTAGCGGGAGCATGGACCAAGCTACCGGTGGTTAGGGCTCCAGAGACAGAAACCTCCTCACGATACGTGCCGTTTCTAGAAGAACTGCCTTTTGTATCAGGCCCTTTATCCATCCACCTAACGCCAGCCTCCTAAGATGGATGTCGAGGCTTTTAGGGATTAACCCATTATTATATTTATCATTTTAATATTGAATTTGTTTGCAGGAAACCTAGTGTAAAAAAGAACAATAAGAAGGTGGCCCAGGAGGTGCCACAGAGCGTGGAGAGCCTGGGCTCCAGTCTCAGTCCTGTTGAATCACCGCTCCAAAATTTACAGGTAAACTGTCCAGATTTTATAATAAGAGTTAATTTTTAGCTGATAATGCTACGATGGAAATCACCAATATTTTATAGCGATTGAGAGAGAATTAAAAAAAATATTGACACCAAATTGGAAGAAGGTATAAACGGGATATTTTACCATCTCCGTTTGTACACGACTCCTTGTGTCACTGGTAGCTCACAACTTAAACTGTCAAACACCAAGCGGTCACCGGTGACCGCAACCTATTGTTCTTTAATTGTGTCTATAAATACGGTACTCGACGAGTTAACAGAGCTGCGGAAGGCCTAAAGGGTTGCCAGGGCTTCTCCTTGAAGGGCAGGAGTAGCAACGGGGTGGTTTTTAGTCAGTAAGAGTCTGATACTCCCTCCCGCCTAATCCAAGGCGGGAGAAGACTTTGGATGATTTTCGCCCCAAAAAAGAGTTCAATTTAACTGTCAATGTTCCTTGTTTTGGTGAAAATCAGTTCTGACTTTATTAATGTTCTGTTTGTAGGACTTGCCGTCGCCGTACGACGCAACGTCGCTGTACTCGAACGCGATGGCGCAGTTCGTAGGCATCGAGCAGCTAGTGCAGCACAAACAGCCGCCAAGCTATGAGGACTGCGTCAAGGTAATACACTACCACAATACTTTGAGTTATTCTATTCGACTAGCTGTTGCTCGCGACTTCGTCTGCGTAGAATATGATTCCTGTTTTATTACGTGGGAGCATTTAATCGGGATAAATATCCTATCACCTAACTTAGAACATACGCTGCCTGTATACCGTATGCCTATGTATTTCATCAAAATCCGTTCAGTAGTTTCAGAGTGATTGAGGGACAAACATACAAACATGCAAATAAAGAAACTTTCAAATGTATAATATTAGTGTAATAGTGAATGAGTTTCTAAGTATTAGGATAATGGCACGAAGGCTCACACACCATCTTCGTAGCCATTTTACAAGCGGAATTATTATACCATATCCTGTCTAAAATTTGCTGTACATGATTGTATGTATGTGTGTTATTGTCTAGCATCATTGTAATTAGTTGAATAAAGATCCCATCCACTCAGTTAGTTCAAACGGTGATTAATTTATAAGTTTTTAAGTTGATATAAAAGTTTAAATTTATAATTAAAGTAGGTACTGAAAAAAGTTCTACTAGTTTTTCGAAACTAGTAATTAAGTTTCGAAAAACTAGTATTTTATCAGCACCGTGCGCGGTCACGTCGATGTCACGCAGCCTACCGATTTTTAGTCAATTTAGTATGTCTCACGCTAGTTATTATAAAAACATAAATTATATATAAATTCTTCTAATTGTAACTTGTTTCATTACCATTGTTTTGTGCCATAATGTTATTGTAAATGTGTCCGTAAATATTGCGTACGCCGTAACTAACGAGCGCAGTGCTTCGTCCCGCAGCCGGGTCAGACGCTGCAACAGTCGTACGGCGGCGGCGCGCTGGGCGCGTCACTGTCGCCGCCCTACTCCAACCACTCGCCCACGCATAGCAACCACACCACGTCGCCACACGCTTATATAGGTAACATATTGTTTTTCATATTTATATTTCATAAATATAAATTTGAGTTTTTCATAATCTTCTAATTATAACTGCTCATTGCTGCCTCTGCTTCATTGGCCGAGTGGTCGCAAGTGCGACTGCCGGGCAAGGGATTTCGGGTTCGATTCCCGGGTCGGGCAAAGTATTACTGGGTTTTTAAAAATCTCAGTAGTAGCACGGAGTCTGGAAAAATGTGCCCGGTATATGGCAATAGGCTCACCCCCTATTACATGGGACTCATAACATAAATAGTGAAAAGTGGGTGTTACATTGTACAGTGGCATTAAGTGCCGAAATGTGCACCTCTGCCTACCCCTTCGGGGATAAAAAGGCGTCTTTCTTCCTCGAAGGGGTAGGTAGAGGTGCACATTCTGGCATTTAATGCTACTGTATCATATAACACCCATATTTCACTATTTTATGTTAAGAGTCCCATGTAATAGAGGGTGAGCCTATTGCCATATACCAAGTTTGAAATTGCCAACCCGCATTGAGCAAGCGTGGTGATTAACGCTCAAGCCTTCTGTGAGAAGGGTATTTGCTCAGCACTGGACACGTCGCTGTTGTTCATGATGATTATTGTTTTTCATTATTTTCTTTGAATTCCTAACGTCAAACACCAGGTATGATTTAATGAGTACAAAATCGAAATCCATCAGTGATCACCTCACCTAGCCTTATGTGAAAAACAGTACATGGTTGATAAAGTCAGACATATTGAAATTTTGACGTTGTTTGTTTATACCTACTATATATTAATCGGGGCTCATTGGATATTAAAAAAAATATTTTTGCTTACCATTTTCTTTTGACCTTGCGCAATACAAGTTGTGTTAAATTATTTATTTTGCTATTTATCTTTATTTATAAGTAAAAATAGTTTTTCCTTTTTTTGGAATATATATTGATTCCCTTAATATGCTAATAAGTATTTGTGTCCCTCAGGATCTCCGTCGCCCGGCAAGTCCCGGCCGTCTCTACCGACCTCACCCGCGCACATGGCAGCACTGCGCCACTCACACCAACACCAACTCGACGCCGCGGCATACTCTGCGCTTGCGCATCTAAGTAAGTATCGTTTACATATAATAGATTTACCTACTATACATTTTAAGTAGAGTTCTAATTTTAATTATAAAATTAATATTTATAATGACAATATTATTATCATAAAATGAAGAATGCATTTTTGACGTGACAACGTCTTATAAATTGGTTTGCCGGGTGTCACTTTAAGAAACTGCGTTACGCTCCGCTCACGTAATGCGCTCACAATGAGAGCGAGTGAGAGGCACGCGTCTCTTCCACTCGGGCATGGTTAGCCCGCCTAAGAGCGAGAGAGACAGACATAAAAAGTGAAAGGCACGCGTCCCTTCCACTCGAGCACAGTTAGCCCGCCTAAGAGCGAGAGAGACAGAGCGAGAGAGAGAGTGAGAGAGATAAAGTCGTTGTCACGTAAAACTTTCGCCCGTATACCGACTTTACAGGCAACCAATTTTTAACTGATTTTACTCATTGTATTTTTGCTTACCTTATTGGAAAATAAAAAACGTGACGTACGTATTTTTTTAATTTCAAGTAGTATCGAGTTTAATTCTTTTAATATTATTGTCTTATTTTTTCTACACGGTATACCAATCACTATTGTTACATAACATAACTACACGCCTGTTATCCCTCGGGGGTAGGCAGAGGTGCACAATACGGCACTTAATGCTACTATGTATAATGTACAATGTAACACCCACTTTTCACTATTTACCTATGTTATGAGTCCCATGTAATAAGGGGTAAGCTTATTGCCATATACCAGGCACAATTTCAGACTCCGTGCTACTACTGACATTTTTTTAAAAACCTAGTAATACTTTGTCCGGCCCGAGAATCGAACCCGATACCCATTGCTCGGCAGTTCTACTTGCAAAGAGGCAGACTCCATTAATTATTATTATTAATAATGTGTGTCTCTATTTACAGGTGCTAATGGTCAGCATAATGCGCAGTTGCAAGCAGTAATGACGCACGCGGCTGCGCTTGGACAAGTCCAGGGCGCGCAGCACCCAGCTCTCACGAATATGATGTCAAGTAAGTTATCATTTTTATTTAGAACTAGCTTCTGCCGCGACTTCGTACGCGCAATCCCGTTTTCTTCCGTTCTCGTAGGAACGGTAATGATTATTTTACACTGTAGTAATATTCATTAAATTTTTATCCTCAGGTCTATACGGCGGCTGGGGCATCGGTGACACATTCCCGACGCCATCGCCAGAGTCGCCCGACCATTGGTCAACGCCATCGCCGCAGACGCCGCTCACACAGTCCCCGCACTCTGATTGGTCAGATCGTGCCGCGTTATCCCCCAACGACATACAACAGACCAATAAGGGGGCGACCGAAGCCATCTATATATAGGTTTATTGTTAAGGATCGGTTTTAGATGAATTATAGACGTTCTTAGTTTGTTAGTGGTGATATTTTGTTAGATTTGATGTATTGTACAGCCATTTTTTACAATATTAATTAGTATTGCCGTAGTTGGTGCTACATATCACGATTTTTATAAATGGCAATCCAAGTTTTCTGTAAGAATGAAATTTAAAGCATTCCGCCTGTAAAATAATACAATTTTACAACAATTCTATATTTTTGATGTGGCAATTTTAAATGATAAGTATATTTTGTACATGGCAATATTACTCTCACATTCGAAATACAAAACACCACAGAACGTCCAGCAGCATAGGAAAGAAGACAATGTATAGAGCGACGCGATGCGATGTAAATTCACCGTTCGATGTCCATTGACGTTTTAGTTCGACGTCGGGCGGCGGTGTCGTAAACATAGACTGACTTGTACAGCCATGACTCGAGTGTATAGCTTTTAAAGTAGTGTAGAATAATGCACTAACAACTTGATAATCTCGTGATTTCTAGCATTCCCCCTGTTTTTCGGTGTGTTTTTTGCAATAAGTATAAGTTCGGGACCAATAAAGTGCAAATGTAAGCGTATCCTACGGCTCATTACCGTAGGCATTGCTTTGAGAGACATAGAAAAGGTATACATTCAACTTTGAACTTTAAAGACCCTTAAGGTAATGTTCAAATTATCTTAACTCATTCGTACTGTCTCTTTCAAAAAATAACGACATAAAAGAGAATGTAACAAACATTCGAAATTTAAAATTCAAAAATGCACCGGATATTAACAATTGACATTTTGATAAAGGAAATGACACATTTGTTACGTTGTTGATGTTTTTTTATTATTATTTACTTGTTTAAGAAAACTGTGTTTGGAGCCTTCGGTTTCAATGCATGAGATTTGTTAGGTGCAGGCGAATGACGTCACAAGCCGGTAGGCCGACACGTTTGTACGGAAATTATTTATGTGTGATTCTGTAGCTTAGGATTTTATCGCTTTTAGTGTGTAGATAGTTTATCGGTTTGTTACTAAAGCTGAGATAAAAATGTAATAGATTATTTTTTGTTCGTTTTTTTTTCTTTTCCTAATTTAAAAATAAGCATAGCTTTTTTATTATTTTTCTTTTTTGATGTAATGGTTTTAAACAGAATGCCTTTAAATCGGCTTTAGAAACAAATTGTGTTAATTTAGTATTTAAAACTGTAATATTGACTGAGATTGTCGCCATAATATTTGTCATGTTTGTTTGTTTTATCGTCAATTTTATTTGTTCACAAACTTTATTTTGATCTGGCAATAATCTCAGTTTTAAATATTATATTTTGATAGTTTACATATCTTCCGTATGTCGAATCATTCCATAATTGCTTCCAATTAGACTACTATGTTCAGGGGTGCCTAGTTAAAAAAATACCTAGTGTATAAACAAAGGTGTTGCCATTACTAATATACCAATGCAACCTCTTGCATATTTAGTGAATTCCCAATTGATATAAGATCTCATTCATTCCATTTGTGCTTTAAAGAACAACCTTAGTTGACATTGTTTTTTTTTTTATTTTTAATAAATAGTTGAAGCGGGACCATTCATGCTCAATTTTTACTCAATTCCATACATACTCTATTATATTGTAATATATTTTATATTTTTAAGTAATTCTATAGTTTATAGCTTGCGATGTTGTACGCCTTCATCATTGTAAATAGTTTTATCATTTTTTTTATTGTAATGTAAGTAATATTTAAAAAGCGAATGAAATAACTGATCTTCGTAGTTTTACGGTAGTATTGTAGTTTTTTTTTAATTTTTATTTTTTTGTGTCATCTTTATTGTGCCAATGAGCAGATTTGTTTACTGTACCGTTAGTGAAACGCACAGACAATATTACTTGTGTATTACTAGTTGTAGAATAAATATTATTCATAAGGGAATTGTGCTTCCTAACTGCTTATGCCTAAGCAACAAATGCCCCCTAAGTAAATATAGGAATTGGCTGAAGTACAAAGGGAATAAATAAACTTTTCGACGTAATATTTCGAAGTAAAAAAATGAATTGTAAAAGTAAAACCAAGACTGTAAAAGATAATTAAGTGCAAAGGATTTATACTCATAAATAAATAATTCCGAAATGTTTCCTTTTATCTTTCGTGTGAATGTAAAAAGTTTAATATTTGGCATTTTCTTTTTTGTGAACATGGCACATTGCAATGTAATGAAAGGCACTATTTTACGAAAGATAAAAATAAATAAATAAAGATAAATGAATCGACCTTTAATCAGTGTGCCTTTTAATTAAGACATTTGTAATTTAATCTATTTAGTTAATTAAGTGACGTAGGTAGTTAAGTTGATAAACTTTGTAAATATATTTTAAACAATTATTTTCATTGAAAATGATTGATTTTAATTTGTAAGGAAAAAATGAAATTTTAATGAATGTTCTCCCCTAATGACAATAAAGGAATAAAATAAATATTTGCTTGTTTTATTATGTAGGTAAATCTGTCTTGTTGTTTTATAATCACATAGTGTGATATCAAAAACCGAAACCTTCTCGAAAATAATGGTGTTAACGAATTATTCAAAATATCTAACTCAATATTTTTAGATAAACCATGAAATTCTTATTCTTCATAAAAAAACACTTTGCCCTACACCAGGATTTTCTCCTGTGTCGTGGGTGCATCTACAAACATACAAGTTCACATACACATGACACCCAGACCCGGAACAACAATTTGAGGATCACACACAAGCCACCGCCATAACCGTACAGTCAAGTCAGTCAATACTAATTTATTACTAACGGAATCGATTATACAATATTTAAATTAAACCGATAATATAATAATAATAAGGTATATAATAATTACGAAGGGTACTCGGTTGCCAAAGAGTAAAAAAATTACGAAGGCAAAAATAAAACTATGTACACTCAATTGTTTTAGTCAACTGTCAATATTATTTACACATACCCTCAACTTCTTCGCAATATTTTATTATCTGTAAAGGTAGTCATTTATCTATGAAATCCTTGACTCAAATAGTGTATAAATAAGTTTATGAATTAAAGTATTGCATTACTAAATTATAGAAGTAAATAGTGTTATTACCGATAGACTCATTTTAAAAAAAGATGGTGGTTTAGAAAAAAGGTGAAAGATAGTTTTCGTAATGATTTTATGAAGTGATGGTAATGTTATACTGGGTGATGATATTATTATAACGTGAAGAATATTCGTTTTGTTTTATGGTGAGTACTTGTTTACTTGAGTATCTATTTAGTATGGCGACTGTCCTGTAATAACAACGCAAACTCTCCTACCAATTTTAAGTTTTAAATTTTGCGGGTCCGTATTTGTTACTATTGTATTTTGTTATCGGGTTGCCGGGGCTCCGGTTCGAAGTGCAGGAGTAGGAACGGGGTGGTTTTTAGTAGTAAGTAAGTGGTAAGAGTCTGACACTCCCTCCCGCCTCACCCAGAAGGGAGAAGTTATTCGATGATTTTCCCCCTTAAAAAAAACCACCTGTGTACATTATGGTTGCAATAAATACTTGGTTTCTTGATTCATGTGATAATTTGATAATCTTCTTTGAGTGCAGGCAGTGTAGAATGCGTTGTTTTGGCACTACCCTCAGTCTACCGGCGGGTACCGTAGAAGCCGTCTAAGCCTAAGGGATTGCACATCACAGGGATTGTAAAGAAGAAATTAAAAGATGATCAATGTTGTGTCCCATTCATTGAATAGGAATTGCCACAGTCTGGATGGGCCGTAACACATTATTGTAACCACAGGAAAAGAACTTGTTCCCACATGGGCAGTATCGAGGCGCGTGGCGGGCTGACGACGCGATGGTGCGCAATGGCAGCATCGATGGCCGCCCTAGCCACCATTACCACCGTCGGTAACATAGCCGTGTTGATCGCGTTGCGGCGCACGCGCACTGCGCCTGCTCATTACCCGCTCGCCAGTTTAGCTACTGCTGATCTACTGGTCGGCTTCTTTGTGCTGCCTGTCGCTGCTGCAAGGGAGCTGTTTGTGTTTCAGTCTAGTAAGTAGCAAATATTTGTTAATATTTTTTCTTCTTTTCCTTTTTTTCTTTAAAAAAAAACGTTGCCCAAATTAGGATGTTCTCCTGTGTCGTGGGTGCGTTTACAAACATACAAGTTTACCTACATATGACCCGGAACAACAATTTGTGGATCACACAAAGAGTTGTTCCGTGCGGGAATCGAACCCGCGACTCGATGCGCGGCAGCCAGTTGCACAGCCACCGCACCAACCGTGCCGATTTTTAGTAAGCTTTATGTGACGAACAAGATCGTGTTTTGAGACGTGCTGTTGAAGAGGCATATTGAATGGATGTGGGTTGTTGACGATGTTAATAATAGTAAATTCTACCTATATGCATTTAAAGTCCTGCTAAATTTCTTTCAAAAGTAGCATTTGTATGTTTATAAATAAACCTTTGTCTATACTTATTACCAATGTTCAGACTAAGTGTGGAATCTATATATTCTGATCGATACGACATCTTTCTCGAATCTAGACTGGATAATCTGCAGCTGCTGGAAGGTCATGGACATCCTGTGCTGTACAGCATCCATCCTGTCTCTCTGCTGCTTAGGCTGGGAACGCTGGTGCGGGATCACAGCTCCTTTCGCTCGAGCCAGGCGAGCCAGGTTAGCCAGACTCTTCGCTTGTCTGGTCTGGCCGGTATCTTTGGCTGTGGCATTGCCAACCGCATTCATTCCGTCTCCAAAGACCTTGCAGATAGGAGTGGAGAAAGGATGTCCTGATAATACGCATATTGGGTGAGTTATGACAACTTTAGTACAAGTAGATAAATTATGTGTACACCGTCGGTAATTCCTTTCCTTTTCGTGCTTTATTACATGGATATAGTTGTTTAGATTTTTATGTTTACCTAATTTTTTTTATGGCATAAGCCGGTAAACAAGCACACGGATCACCTGATAGTAAGCAATCGGCGTCGCCCATGGACACCTGGAACACCAGAGGCGTTACAAGTGCGTTACCGGCCTTTTGGGGATTAGGAGTTTAAGGATCGTTGGGGATTCAAGGTTTGGGGAGATTGGGGAAGGTTAGGGTAATTGTGCCTCCGGTAACCTCATTCACACGACGAAACACAACGCAAGCGTTGCTTCACGTCGGTTTTCTGTGAAGCCTTGGTATCACTCCGGTCGACCCGGCCCATTCGTGCCGACGCATAGCTCTCTGATACTTAAACTGTCAAACACCAAGCAGTCACCGGTGACCGCAACCTATTGTTCTTTAATTGTGTCTATAAATACGGTACTCGACGAGTTAATTAGACTGTTGATTGCAGTTTAGTTTATTTTCTTAGTACATGTTCTTTGTTGAATGTTGTGGAGTTCTATAAGACCTATGTCAAGATCATTGGTTTCATGGGTTCATCCTCTGACGTGGATCTTGTAACTAGATGAAACTGGGTGTTTTTAAACTTTTGTTTTATATTTATTCCCAGTTATGCATTCTACTGCGCTTCCCTTTCGTTCTATCTGCCTGCTGTAATGATGGTGGTGCTATATGCTCGTATCCTGTGCGCCCTCTCAGTGCCACTGGAGATACGGTCCCATCGAGGAGCGGTGCAGGGTTCAGATCAGAACAGTCAAGTGGTAAGTTTCATTTAGTATTATGTATTACTAAATTGATTTTAAAATGTGGCATAGTCCGTTGTACTCGTCTAGTAATTCGAAATGCTAAGCTGTTGTATTTTTTTAACAGATCAAACAAGTTCCGTGAGATTGTATTTTTTATATTCATGGTTTCGCTGCCGTCAAATATATATACAACAACAACTTTAGAAAAAAAAAGAAAATTAATATTGTATTTTTACCGTAACATGTGCAAATTACAACATAACATAACATCATGCCTTTTATCCCCGAAGGCGTAGGCAGAGTTGCACATTATGCCACCCATACAACAACCACTTTTCACTATTTATGTTATGAGTCCCATGTAATAGGGGGTGAGCCTATTGCCATATACCGGTCACAATTCCAGACGTGCTACTACTGAGATTTTTTTAATAACCCAGTAATACTTTGCCCGACCTGGGCATCGAACCCGTGACTCCCTTGCCCGGCAGTCGCACTTGCGACGACGGCCAACGAGGCCAAAATACAAATGAGAAAACAAAAACAAAAATAAATTAAAGTCGTCATCACAGCACAAACTGGCTAGTACTTAACCTTTTAATATTCTGTTTCAGGATAAAGCTTCTACATCGGCATTAAGAAGGTCTGTTACTGTTATCACGGAGTTATCCACATTACCTGAGCGGACTAATACTGAGTAAGTACCTCATTTATTTGGAACTTCTTCAATAAGGTTGATGTGGATAATGCCAGCAAATAAATTAGCGAAACTAGCTTACGGAACAGAGAGTAAAGTTCCCTAAGATCGGAAAAGGAGGATCCTCCGACCAGGCGAGGTGATCGTGCCTGGCGAGCTTTCTGCCCAACAGGTGTTCGTTGGATTTTTCTATCTATGTTAAACCGAATATAAACTTCACATGTGCGATGTAGAATTTTTGTGACGTCATCGTCGTATCATACGCAGTGTCGTATACGCTGAAGGGACTACCTATTATTTGACAGAATTTGGGTAATAGCAATATCTGATAAAGATGAACCTTTCAAACTGCGATTGCTAACCCGTTTGCCAACCGTGGAAATGATATTAAATTTCTATAAACTTCCGAGGATTAGAATTAATGTCCTATGTTGCATGTTCCAGGGTAGCATCATCTCCAAAAGACAATAACATGAATGCACTAACGAGAACTGTCGAATGCACTACAGCGTCCCCAGCAAAACACCCTGGAGCTCCGTAAGTTATTTCTATAGAATCTTATTTTACATTTTGACTGCCTCATTGGCCGAGTGGTCGCAAGTGCGACCTACAGGCAAGGGGTCTCGGGTTCGATTCCCGGGTCGGGCAAAGTATTACTGGGTTTTTAAAAATCCCAGTAGTAGCACGGAGTCTGGAATAGTGCCCGGTATATGGCAATAGGCTCACCCCCTATTACATGGGACTCATAACATAAATCGTGAAAAGTGGGTGTTACATTGTAGGTACAGTGGTGTATTAAGTGCCGTAATGTGCACCTCTGCCTACCCCTTCGGGGAAGACAGACGTGATGTTATGTTATGTTATGTTGTTATTTCACTTTTAGCTGCTTCGCAATGGAACAAATCTTTTCTTTCAAGTAGATAGTATCTTAGGAGTCTTATGTAATATATAGAGGATGAGATTATATACCGGGAAATATTCTAAACTAACGTAACTAAAATGGAACGTAAGATACTTTTTCGACCAACGAGCCAGACTCAAAGGCCCAAGAACTCAAATTAGTCTTTTTTTTATAAGGGGGGAAAATCATCGAATGACTGCTCCCGCCTGGGTGAGGCGGAAGGGAGTGTCAGACTCTTACTGACTAAAAACCACCCCGTTCCTTCTCCTGCACGTCGAGCCGGAGCCCCGGTTACCCGTTTTTTTTTTTTTTTTTTTTTTTTTTTTTTAAGGGGGGAAAATCATCGAATGACTGCTCCCGCCTGGGTGAGGCGGAAGGGAGTGTCAGACTCTTACTGACTAAAAACCACCCCGTTCCTTCTCCTGCACGTCGAGCCGGAGCCCCGGTTACCCGTTAGGTTCTCCGCGACTCCGAATCGGCATCGGCCCTGTTGGGCCCCATCTGTGGTGGTCTGATGGCTCTTTGAGGCGCGCGCGGAACGCGACGCGCCGTACGCTCGGGTCTGTTTCTGGTCGGACGGGGAGCCACCCATGCTCGCCGTCCGCAGGCCCGCGCTTACGGTGGCCGGAGATCGTCTCGCGATCCCCGACGCCCGGTGTGTCCTTCGCGATGGCTGGGTTGCGAGGAGGCAGCGCTTCGCTGCCTCACGCGTCCCGCCTCCTCCTTAGCTAGCATGACTGCTTCGCAAAAGGAGGAGACGGCATCCCAATCCCCCTCGCTCCGCATCATGGCCTGCACTAGGCCCGGACGCGAGAGGTCGCCATCGCCGATCACTTCCCTGAGGGCACGGCGGTGCTCAGCCCACGCAGGGCATTCTCCCACTGTGTGTTCCACCGTGTCCTCAGGGCGGTCCTCGCAGTGATGACACCCGGGCGTTTCCTCCCGCCCCATCAGACACAGGTACCTCCCGAAACTTCCATGTCCGGTGAGGACCTGCGTCAGGCGGTAGGTGAGGACGCCGTAGCGTCTCTCAAGCCACTCCTCAAGAGGGGACTTACCGCTGCAATGGCAGCGAGCCCAGCCCCCGGTTGCGACAGTCGTTGCTGCCATTCCGCCATGAGATCGCGCCGGAGCTCATCCCGCCACGCACTTATTTGGCGCGGCAGCGGAGTTTCGCCCCGGCGACGTGCCTCCGCGCGCATGTTATACACGCGCGCGAGCACCTTCGCCTCCAGATCCCACGGCGGTAATCCGGCAAGGAGGTTCGCCGACTCCCCAGAGATCGTGCGGTATCCGCGGATCATTCGGATCGCCATGACCCTCTGTGACATGAGCAGCGTCCGAGCAGGACGCCGCAACAAGTTCGGCGCCCAAACAGGGGCGCCGTAGAGGGCCATGGACCGCACGACCCCGGCGTATAACCTCCGGCAGGAGGCGTTTGGCCCCCCAAGGTTGGGGAGGATGCGCTTAAACGCAGCCCCCGCCCTCGCCAACTTTGGAGCCAAACGTCGGAAGTGCTCCACGAAGTTCCACCGACTGTCGAGGACGAGTCCCAGGTACTTCATCGTCGTCTCGACGCCGATGGTAACCCCTCCCGCCATTATTTGGGACCCACCCGGAGGTGGCGCGTTCCCGCGACCATGAAAACACATGGCCTCGGACTTGTGGAGCGCCACCTCGAGTCCCAACTGCCGGATTTTTTCAACGACTGTCGCAACCGCTGTCGCCATTAAGTCGGCCGCCGCCTGGTGCGACCTCCCGTGCGCTAGCACCAGCGTGTCGTCGGCGTAGCATATTGTGCTAACGCCGTTCGGGAGGTCGGTGCGCAGCACCCAGTCATAGCCGATGTTCCACAGGAGCGGCCCCAGAACCGAACCCTGTGGAACACCGCGTGACATCTCTCGCCGGTTCCACTCGCCCCGGTGACCGGGGTAGCTGACGGACCTGTCCGTCAGGTTACCCGTTAGGTTCTCCGCGACTCCGAATCGGCAACAGCCCTATTGGGCCCCATCTGACTCAAATTAGTCTTGGAATAAATCATTTTTAATTAACCTGTATTTTTTATGAAGTAGGAGGCAAACGTTACCGGATGGTGAGCGATCAGCGCCGCCCATGGACAGCCACAACACCAGAGGAGTCACGGGTGCATGCGTTGCTGGCCTTTTAAAAAGGAATGATACGCTGTTTTCTTGAAGGTTTGAAGGTCGTGTCGGTTCGGAAATACCGCCAACGACAGATCATTGCACAGTTTTGCTTTGTGAGGCAGAAAACTACGAGAGCAGTGCATAGTTATAATCCATATTACACAACAATGTTAATGTTATTATTATCCATTGGTGTTTATTTTAATACCTTGTTGCATTTTATGGTATGATTTACAGGAGTTCAATCATGTCTCGTCAGCAGCGCGCCACCCGCACCATCATCAGGCTAATGGGGTTATTCCTATTCTGCTGGACACCATTCTTCATTGTGTTGCCAGTCGGTGAGTGCAAATTATTATCATTGCTATGCTTTGGATCCTGGATCAATTGAACATTCGATATTTTAAACACGTTGAGTATTAAATCGCCCGATTTATTAACTTGGACTGCCTCGTTAGCCGAGTGGTCCGAAGTGCGACTGCCGGGCAAGGGGTCTCGGGTTCGATTCCCGGGTCGGTCAAAGAATTACTGGGGTTTTTTTTAATCTCAGTAGTAGCATGGAGTCTGGAAATGGGTCCGATATATGGCAATAGGCTCATTTATACTATCCCCTATTAAGACTCATAACAACATAAATAGTGAAAAGTGGGTGTTACATTGTACAGTGTCATTAAGTGCTGTAATGTGCACCTCTGAAATAAACTCTCCCTTCGAGGATAAACGGATAAAAGTTATGTTATTTATTAACTTTTCAATACCTTATTATGAGCAACACAGTTTACGGTGTCGGAGCAATTGATATTCTATTATTTGGAATTCGTTTTGGCATAGTACCTACACCCAGTTTGATGGTAGTCTTTGCCCAGTACAACTGGAGAGCTTGAATTAAAGAATAGATTCCCGGGTCGTACAAATCACTTATTGAATTTTCTAAATCACCCTTTTAGTATTACAAGCGTGTCATTCTCTCAATAGTCCTAAATATTTTCCAGATGCGCTCTGCCACTGCGTCTGGGAACCTGTGTGGCAGGTGTGCACTTGGCTAGGGTTCACCAACTCGGCACTGAACCCGTTGGTCTACGCAGCAGCGTCACCCAGCGTCAGGAAGGCACTTCATGCTTCCTTGACTAGCTCCGTTCGACCTGAAGTGTCTATGACACCGAATGTTCGTAACTGCTATTGAGGTAAGAGTTGTGTATATATCTTTATTTCTTCGTCTCCTAAATTGCTGAATAGATGTTTAGTACAGTAGCACTATTTATTTACCATTAGCTTTTACCCGCGGCTTCGCTCGCGTCACAAAAGGATAAAAAGTAGCCTATGTGACATATACCAATACACACAGCGCCATCTATACCAATAATTTCGTTTTCCCTCGAGAATATCAAATTTTCCCGGGATAAAAAGTACCCTATTATTTAATCCGGACTTGTAACTTTACGTCTTCAAAAATTCAAAGCAAACGGTTCAGTAGTTACGGCGTGACAGTGGAACAAACAAACAAACAAACAAACTCACTTTCCGATTAATAATATTAGAAAGGATTGTAAGGAGTGTAGGGCGCCCTCCAGCTAGGTAGAGTGACGATATAGGTACATAAAGTGACTGGTAGTGGTTGGATGCGTAGAGCTGAAGATCGAGCTCAGTGGCGTGCCATTGGAGAGTCCAGGTCCAGCAGTGGACGAAAGCAGGCTGTGAATGAGATTCCTTGCTTGCCAGACATTGTTTAGTTTACTGATGTAACTAGAGCCGATGGGCAATTTTTGTACTTTTCATCATTGTTGACATATTATCGATTCTTGCTATGTCGGTAATCAACCAAAATCAACTGATTTCGATCCACAATCTTTGGATTAGGATTGTTTAAATTCTTCTGTAAATAGAACTGTTTCGGGCGATTTCACTTAACAAATCTGAAGTCTGGATCAGACAGGACATTAGGTTACGTATACCAGTGTTTAAAATTAAATCAATATTAAAATAAATAATATTTATTTACACATTCAATATTTGTGTACACTTCTTTGGCATAATCGCTACCCATTCATAATTAAAACGAAAATATATAAAATTGCACTCGCAAAATACTGTTTCTCGTGATTTTTATACTACGCTTATAAACAACATGTTTTTTATTAAAACAACAACAATTATTTACAACTTACATAGAATTTGAATAGACTACAAACAATTAACAACATTACTATCAACTAAAATTGTGCGATATATTATTATTTTTTCTTGAAATTTTGGAATAGTAGGCCTTATTACTAGGCCCATAAAGAATATTTTGTTCGATTTTACTTTTGAAGTTCCTATTCTTGTTTTTCGATATTTAAGCATTTGTTTTTAACAAAATGACTGCTTACAACAATAATAATAAGGTACATTAATTGACAATTACTTTTTTACTGGAAGGACTTTCATTCCGTGTCCCACAACTGTCTAAAAAATATTTCCATCAAGCCAATTAATATCATTTTCTCTTAAACATAAAACGATAATAAATTAACAAAATTAATGTTTGTTTACAGCTGGTATCTCAAAATGGCGGCAATTGTCAAGATGGCGGACAGGATTAATGGCGGGCGGGAGAATGTGGCGGCGCCACCGAAGTCTTTGGCGTCTGGGGAACAGTTCTTGCACGTGCAACGACCGGAGAGGCAGTATCCTGGCTCGTTCTCTTCTGATACGCATTCCTGTAAGAAGAATTGTTAGTTAGTCAGCAGAAATTATTAAATGTGATTAATAATTTAAGTACCGTAAAAGGAGTGAATATAATTCGAAGGAAGAGTAGATACAGAAGAAGGGTGATATTGGGAAATAGTTCTAGTATGTGTGTGCGATACGTTTATAATTTGCGCGCTCTGATTGGCCTGCTAATTTACTAACCAATTAGAAGGCTAAATACAGTAACGTTTCGTTTGAGTTAAATGTAAAATGAACTCGCACTAGTTCCATCCGCCCCTCAAATTCTATTTTCCTTGTTTTACCGTACTTTGTAATTAATACAGAAAACTTATTATAAATTGTATATTGTATTGCGTTACTGTTTGTCGAGGTAACCAGCTTGACTTGCTTCAAGCCACGCTAAAAGGTTCCGTCCAATAAGTGCCTAATGTGAATTTTTCACCTCTTTGGTTGCGGTATTGTTAACTGCCATTATCCATTACCTATTTGAATGGATAGGATCGGCTGTGATGGTAACAGTGCACTGCATTTATTAAATCTATTGCAAATCGTAGTTAACGTTAATGCGAAATCTAGCACTAAGCACTTAGCTCCGCGACGCTTGCCGCTTTATTACATAGCATGACAAACGACTGCCTACCTACCTATGAGTTACTTCGACAAACAGTATCGTAAAATTTCATTAAGTAAGAATGCTGGTATTAGATCACACAGAAATTTTGTAAGGAGTTTTCACTCCAAAGGAAGGTGTTAATGTGATGACATGAATTACTAGCACCAGAATAGCTGGTCGCCTGTAACTGCAATTAAAAGTACCTATGTAATAAAGATAGTGTAATCAAATAGCATGGTTTCAAACTAGTCGAGTTCCTCTTCAAATAGTTACGTTAGTAGGCCAAAAACATAATAAATAATTTAGTATGTCTCACGTAAGTTTTATTATTGCTTCTTAAACTAAACTAAATATTTGCAAAACAACTATTAAATCGCGAAAACGATAATGAAGTCTATACTGAAAGGCATTGTTTAACAATCGTGACTACTTTTAACTTCGGCTCCAGATGACTAGCTATTCTGATGCTAACTATGTATGTATGACTTGATAATATTTAGATTTAAGAATAGTTTTAAGAAAAAGTGATAAATAAAATATATAATTTGAATATTATTGGTATTTTTTTATTTAACTTTTTGCAACAAGTGTATAAAGGCGAGCTTAATGCCATGGGCATTCTTACTAGCCAACCTTAGGTAATGCAGTGAGAGCGTGGTCGGTTCTTTAAGTTGAAAACTTAACACTATGTAATATAGTGGAGAACTAAGGAGAGCTTTTATCCAGCAGTGGACATCTTTCGGCTATTGATGATGATCTAATAAGGTTCCTAAAATGACAGAATACATATACATACATACTATCACGCCTGTCTCCCATGGGGGTAGGCAGAGACTAAGGAACGCCAATTACTACGATTCTTACATACCTCTTTCGCTTCATTAACAGTCATCAATCTTTTCATGCATGCTCGTCGGTTAAGGGAGAATAGACATATGTATTCTGTCCTATATCGATATCATAAACACAGATAAACATATTATCAACATAATATGGTATTTCGTTCATTCAACTGTCAACCAATACCTATGACATCAGATCACAATTATTTCAAAACTCAATCTAACCCTAATTCTTCTAGCTCTGAGACCATTTCATCAATAAAGCTGAATGAAGCTCATAAAAAAGACATTAATGAATATTCTATAGTGAATCCACATCTAGCGAAAGGGCCACCCGCCGCAAGTTGATTGCTCGAGCACAAATTACTTGTTATTCAGTAAAACTGGAATAAGAAGCGATAGGTGAAAGAGGTAAGAGGGATTCAACCCTCTGTTGACTCTAATCACCTGTTGTTTCCTATTCATCCCACTTTATCATTGTAAGCTACACACGTGCCGTTTGCAAAATAATTCGCGAGCGGCTCACGAACTGTGGATTCGCCTACTATAGAAGCACCATCTTTTTTTAAGGGGGGAAAATCATCGAATGACTGCTCCCGCCTGGGTGAGCCGGGAGGGAGTGTCAGACTCTTAGAGACTAAAAACCACCCCGTTCCTTCTCCTGCACGTCGAGCCGGAGCCCCGGTTACCCGTTAGGTTCTCCGCATATAGACGCACCATAACAATACTACACAGTATAAACAATGTTCACATAGCCCTCCCGTTATCATATTTTACAAACAAAACTAAAGAAAAACAAATATTTGTCAACTTCGTTTGCGTCATTATATAGGTAGGCACGCAAAAGATTGATCATATGCCTCAGCAATGCTGATGTTATCTGTTCCGTTTACTTTACGACCACCACTGATTAAAATAGATCAATGGCCAACAAAACTACAAATTCATATTTTCGGTTCGTCGTATAAATTGGTCTCAATTAAAGACCCCTTATTAATTCGCGTCCAATAGACAAAGTAACTGTCTAAGGTCTGTAATTTTACTTAGTGTTTGACTTGCTAATTATATTAAAATGTAGGGTGAACTCATCTAACTTCGTGACAAAGGCATTTGAGTAATAAAATACCAATAAATTATTAATTAATTTAATTCAGTCTCCGCATGAGTTTTAATCAGTCTTTTATGAGGAATATTAGCACAAATAATCAGATTTTTTTCTAGAAACCTAAGAGTTCCACCAAATTTACTAAACCGAATTATTAGGCGAGTCACAGAATTAGATGAGTTCACTATACCTCCTCTTTTGGACTCGATAAAAATTCAACATACCTCATCCCTCTTACACTCCTGTCCGGGCCGGCGTCGATGCCAGCACCGCGCCGGAGTGCCGGCAGCGCGAGCGTTATATGCGCATGCGCAGGTCCCGCCCAGACACAGCGCCGCGCCCGGCGACCGTGCTTCCGGCAGTCCGGCCAGACCGTCACACTGCACGTCGTACTCACACGACTCGTTCAAGGCTTTTACGGCTGAAAAATAATAATAATAATGAACTTTAAAAACCGTAGGAACATCAGTACATCAGAAAAGATATTAAACAGATTGATTCCTAGGTCCGGAAAGTAAGTAATCTGTATTCAAACTTAATACCTATGTATGTAGGTAAAACACATTTTTTTAAGTCTGAAAAAGAGCGTAGTATGAAATTGGAGACTCTCCCCAGAGTATGAAAAAATAAGACATAACATAACATCACGCCTTTAATCCTCGAAGTACGACTTAATGCCGCTGTATCATGTAACAACCACTTTTCACTATTTATGTTATGAGTCCCATGTAATAGGGGGTGAGCGTATTGCCAAATACCAGGCACATTTCCAGACTCCATGCTACTACTGAGATTTTTTTTAAATCTAGTAATACTATGCCCGACACGGGAATCGAACCCGACTCCCCTTGCCCGGCAGTCGCACTTGCGACCACTTCACCAATGAGGCAGTTAAAAAAGGATACTCGGCACTCGCCAAATACAAAAGAATTCAAAGTACTTAATTCATCAGGGTAATTAACACAATGTTACCTATACTTATGTAGGTATCCTTGTTCCCAATTCAACGCTAAATATCAGATATCATCCTAATCACCAATTAATTACAAATACAGGTGTAGGCCCTTTAAATTAAGGGCATCACATCCAGGGCCTTGATAATCAAATTACTATAGTAATCATATTAAGGGCTTCTAACACGTACGTGATTCTATTTAAGGTCTAATTAGTGAAAGATTGCGGTCAAGGATTAGAACTAATAAGGTGAGGAAATAATAGGTACTAAGGTCATGTTTCAAGTTCTGTGCGGCGAATATATTTTTGTTATTTTTTATGGGATAAGCTGGTAAACGAGCGTACGGATAACCTGATGGTAAGCAATCGGCGTCGCTCATGGACACCTAGAAATCCAGAGGCGTTACAAGTGCGTTACCGGCCTTTTGGGTAGGTATTAGGAATTTGAGGATTGTTCAGGGATTGGGGAGATATACATAGGAGATACATAGACATAAGGACAATTCTACAATTCGTGCTAATAGTGAATGTTCTGTAGGAATATAAGGATCTAAACTAACGGGTAACCGGGGCTCCGGCTCGACGTGCAGGAGAAGGAACGGGGTGGTTTTTAGTCAGTAAGAGTCTGACACTTCCTTCCGCCTCACCCAGGCAGGAGCAGTCATTCGATGATTTTCCCTCCATAAAAAAAAAACTGCACTTTTGTTTTATCTGGAGTCTGGATCTAGGGTAGCAGATGTACTTATAGTTACTCAAGTAGTGTATCAGTCATGCCAGTCTTAGGTGGTTTAATAGTTATGAAATATATACAACTAACTGCCTCGACGTGGTCGCAAGTGTGACTGCTGGGCGAGGGGCCTCGGGTTCGATTAAAAATATTACTTACCTATTTAAATGAAATTTTCAGTAGTGGCACGGCTCAGACTCATAACATAAATAGTAAAAATTGGGTGTATCATTGTACAGTGGCATTAAGTGCCATGCACCTCTGGTTACCCCTTTCGGGATAAAAGGCGTGATGTTATGTTATGAATTCCATACAAAGAGTTTTCGTGCCACTAGAAGCGCTGACGCAGGTCTATTGACCTATACAATATTTGCTAATGTTAAATTATTACGCAATCTTTCAGTTCTTTTCAGAGTAGTCAGTTAGGAACTGCTGGCCCTCATCTAGCAAATTAAAGATCGAGAAGTAAAAGTGTTACTTTGTAACCTATTTGTAGAAATAAATACCATTTATCGTTCCAATTTTGATTGGAGTATTTAGACCTTGAGCTTCACCAACGCCATCTCATTTCAAAATCAATCATCCTTAGTATTCAAATCATATCGAGATCACTTTCTAACCATACCAACTACTTAATCTACCATGACGAGTTTAATTCTTATAAGATAGTTCTTAATACTTACATTCAACACAGGAGTTGGAGCCATTATGAGCTACCCAGTTGTCTCTGCAGCGACACGTGCCCCGACACTCCAGACCTGCGCCGGCGCACTGCATCTGATCCTCGCACTCCTCGCCTAATGTGGCATCGCGCACACATCTATATTTAAAGATTTTGTATTAGTTTTAAACAAAATTAACATGTCGTGGTGGCTCGGAGGGTCGTGGTGGCTCGGAGGTTTAAGACGCCTGCTTCTCATGCATGAGGGTGCGGGTTCGAAACATACCAACGGCAAGTACCAATGTGACTTTTTCCGAGTTATATGTACTTTCTAAGATTATTTAGATACCACTGACAAACGGTGAAGGAAAAATATCGTGAGGAAACCTGGACTTATAATTTCTAATTATAAGTTTGAAATCGCCAACCCGCATTGAGCAAGCGTGGTGATTAATGCTCTAACCTTCTCCGTGTGAGAAGAGGCTTTGCTCAGCAGTGGGCATTTATAGGCTGTTGATGATGAACAAAATCTGCTAATTGGTGTGTGGGGTGAGGTTATTTGACTGCTGCATAATGTGGAACAGTTCTTCTGCTCCTCAAACTATTGTTCTGGGATTAAATATTATTGTGTATGTTTGTAAAAGATCTCTAACGACTCAGAAGAAAATACTACTGTCATATAATATTAAAGAAACGAGAATTAGTGGTCACACATTCGGGTATCGCTCTCATGACTCAAGTGCGAGTTTTTTACTTGTTTGATCCGGTACTACAATTTGTATAGGATCGGCATGGGACGGTAACATGCAATATAAATTATATACAACAAATCGTAAATAGCATACAATTTCGTAGCTATCGTTATCGCGGCAGAATTGGTGAAAACTATCGCGATAACGATATTGGACGGGGGACTGGGATGCTGTCTCTTTCTTCTGCGAAGCAGTCATGCTAGCCAAGGAGGAGGCGGGGCGCGTGAGGAAATGAACGCCCTCACGCCCCAGGCTTTGCGGGAGATACCCCGGGCATCGGAGATCGCGCGACGATCTCCGGCTGCGTAAGTGCCTGTCTGCGGACGATGAGCAAGGGTAGCTTGCCACCCGACCAGAACCAGACCCGTGCGAACGGCGAGTCGCGTTCCACGCGCGCCTTAAAGAGCCTCAGTAGGGCTGATGCCCGATACAGAGCCGCGGAAAGCCTAAGGTGTTCTCGAGGCTCCGGCTCGAAGAGCAGGAGTAGGAACAGGGTGGTTTTTAGTCAGTAAGAGTCTGACACTCCCTCTCGCCTAACCCAAGGCGGGAGAAGTCTTTGGATGGTTTTCCCCACCCAAAAAATAAGGGAATTGGACGGACCGGAGTTTTAATGTAAGTTGTATTTACCTCGTGCCATTGTCCCTTGGGCTGAACTGTAGCTGACACGTGCAGTATCCTCGCACGCAGAACGCCTGGCGCTCGGTGCTCTGGTCTCCTAAGTAGCAGTTCTGGTCCACCACGCAACGGTCACCGATAACTGAAATAGAATAAAAAGTTTGTAATAAAAATGTGTTTTATTACAAACGAATGATCTTGAGATCGGTCTATCGGATATTCAATGTCCTCGTTATAATTTTATTCAAGTACTTAGGCTATTGCTAGATATAACTGTCTCTGTAACAGAGTGTTTTCAAAGCAACCTTTAGTAAAGTAATACTTCTTTGGAAACTTTCATTATTTTGTAAGAAATTGTGAGTTATTTTTTTTATGGAATAAGCTGGTAAACGAGCAGACATCCGTCTGCTCGTTTACCTGATGGTAAATAATCGGTGCCACCTATGGACACTCTAAACACTAGAGGTGTTACAAGTGCGTTGCCGGCCTTTTGGGCATTAGGAATTGGATTATTGGGGATTCGGGGATTGGGGACATTGGGCCTCCGGTAACCTCACTCACACGACGAAACACAATGCAAGTGTTGTTTCACGTCGGTTTTTTGCTCGGCCGTATTATTACTCCTGTCAAGCCGGCCCATTCGTGCTGAAGCATGGCTCTCCCACACTTAAGATGCCAAAGTTTTTTTGCGTTACTAACATGTTTTAGGAATTAAGCACGCTATTGTAGACTGCGAATCTCTCCCTATACCTTTTATTGCGGTTTGTTAACCAGTTTTTTATCCACATTTCTTCACTAGTATAAATATAGTAGGATACTAACCGGCAGTTTCATAACACCGGTCGTCTTCGAAGTGCGCGGTAGGTGCACAGGCACAGACACCATTGGTGCACTCCGAGTGGATGCCCGTAGTGGAGTGACACTGGATGTGTTGCACGCATTCCTCACCAATACGAGCCTCTGGAAATACAATAAAATTTTAGTACTTTCTCCTGCATTAAAAACATATGAATTTATATACACACTTTTTTTTTTTTTTTTTTTTAAGGGGGGAAAATCATCGAATGACTGCCCCCGCCTGGGTGAGGCGGGAGGGAGTGTCAGACTCTTACTGACTAAAAACCACCCCGTTCCTTCTCCTGCACGTCGAGCCGGAGCCCCGGTTACCCGTTAGGTTCTCCGCGACTCCGAATCGGCATCGGCCCTATTGGGCCCCATCTGTGGTGGTCTGATGGCTCTTTGAGGCGCGCGCGGAACGCGACGCGCCGTACGCTCGGGTCTGTTTCTGGTCGGACGGGGAGCCACCCATGCTCGCCGTCCGCAGGCCCGCGCTTACGGTGGCCGGAGATCGTCCCGCGATCCCCGACGCCCGGTGTGTCCTTCGCGATGGCTGGGTTGCGAGGAGGCAGCGCTTCGCTGCCTCACGCGTCCCGCCTCCTCCTTAGCTAGCATGACTGCTTCGCAAAAGGAGGAGACGGCATCCCAATCCCCCTCGCTCCGCATCATGGCCTGCACTAGGCCCGGACGCGAGAGGTCGCCATCGCCGATCACTTCCCTGAGGACACGGCGGTGCTCAGCCCACGAAGGGCATTCTCCCACCGTGTGTTCCACCGTGTCCTCAGGGCGGTCCTCGCAGTGATGACACCCGGGCGTTTCCTCCCGCCCCATCAGACACAGGTACCTCCCGAAACTGCCATGTCCGGTGAGGACCTGCGTCAGGCGGTAGGTGAGGACGCCGTAGCGTCTCTCAAGCCACTCCTCAAAGAGGGGACTTACCGCTGCGATGGCAGCGAGCCCAGCCCTCGGTTGCGACAGTCGTTGCTGCCATTCCGCCATGAGATCGCGCCGGAGCTCATCCCGCCACGCACTTATCTGGCGCGGCAGCGGAGTTTCACCCCGGCGACGTGCCTCCGCGCGCATGCTGTGCACGCGCGCGAGCACCTTCGCCTCCAGATCCCACGGCGGTAATCCGGCAAGGAGGTTCGCCGACTCCCCAGAGATCGTGCGGTATCCGCGGATCATTCGGATCGCCATGACCCTCTGTGCCATGAGCAGCGTCCGAGCGGGACGCCGCAACAGGTTAGGCGCCCAAACAGGGGCGCCGTAGAGGGCCATGGACCGCACTGATATACACACTAGCTTTTACCCGCGGCTTCGCTCGCGTCACAAAAGGATAAAAAGTAGCCTATGTGACATATACCAATACACAAAGCGCCATCTATACCAATACTTTTGTTTTCCCTCAAGAATATCAAATTTTACGTCTGCAAAAATTCAAAGCAATCGGTTTAGTAGTTACGGCGTGAAAGCGGAACAAACAAACAAACTCACTTTCCAATTTATAATATTAGTAAGGATTATACTAAGGTCCAATAATTTATAGATCACACAGATTCTATGCGGTAATCGAATGGGCAATGCGGTGCGCGGAAACCGGTTGTCCAGCCACTACAATTACGGAACAATCTAAACTTATACCAAATCGTCTGGTCACCTTATATCCTTAACAGTTGGACTAGATTATAGTATATAATACAATACAATTTCAATGTACTATGAAATAAAAAATAAACAATAAAATGAGATAAAATACTGGTCTGCCCGTGTTACTTGATTGTTCTTTGTGTATATTTATCACTTTACTCACATTTTCAAATAGTGAAAATTTGTATTTGTTCTTTTGTATTGTTTTTGTTTATATGTACGTACTACTGTGCGCTCTAAATTGTTTAATTTTATATGAATAACTATATGTTTCTCAGTGAGAGAATTACGTATGTGATTCTTTATGAGAAATAAAGATATTCTAAACCTAAACCTAATATCTACAGCACGTTAAAATTGCAAACAATAAAATACCTTTCAAACACCCTTTATGCGTGCTATTAACGGCTGCGTACACGAATCCATCTTTACAGACGCAGTAGCTGTTGAGGCGACAGAACGCGTTGTCCGGGCAGTCCATGTCCACGCTGCATACATTGCCCGTCCGACCTGTAACAATCAAACATACTTTATTACATATTCATTTAAATTAACATAACATCACGCCTTTTATTCCCGAAGATAACATAACATCACGCCTTTTATCCCCGAAGGGGTAGGCAGAGGTAAAATAATAAAATGAAATAAAAAAAATTTATTTTCAAACATAATAGTCTAGAAATGTACAGTATTGCTTAAAGCTATATAAAGTTCAGAAAATAAGGTGCCTGAACTAGGACATCCTGTGTTTCAGGCGAGGTTAGGTAACAGTAATAGACATTGTTATATAATCACTAGTATTTAAACTGTCAAACACCAAGCGGTCACCGGTGACCGCGACCTATTGTTCTTTAATTGTGTCTATAAAACCGGTACTCGACGAGTTAAATGCTAATAAGTTAAGGTAAATTATTACAATATTTAGTTATATTTATGCATACTGATATAAAGGTGCACACAGAAGTAACACCCACTTTTCACTATTTATGTTATGAGTCCCATGTAATAGGAGGTGAGTCTATTGCCATATACCGGGCACATTTCCAGACTCCGTGCTACAACTGAGATTTTTTTTTAAAAACCTAGTAATACTTTGCTCGACCCGGAAATCGAACCCGGAACCCCTTGCCCGGTAGTCGCACTTGCCACCACTCGGCCATCGAGGCAGTCATTTTCATTTTCATTTGAATAACCAGGTGATACTTTGCGCAAATTCGTACTTAACTACTACAGGACAGAATAGTCTGGCTTTAACTCTGCTATTAAGATTTGAACTGTGAATGCATTGGTAATCATTATTATCTATATGAATTTTATTGTCTCGTTATGGACAAAAAGACCGGCAATGCAATGTAGATAACATGCTTTAAACTATCAAACACCAAGCGGTCACCGGTGGCCGCAACCTATTGTTCTTTAATTGTGCCTATAAATACGGTACTCGACGAGTTAATAAACAAGCAGAGAAAAATATAACGTGGCAGAAATCTTAACACCTTATTATCTAACAGTCGTACATATTTTTATGGCATAAGCCGGTAAACGAAATGGATCTCCTGATGGTAAGCAATCGGCGCCGCCCACTGACCAAATACATAAGTCAATTTTTGTAAATATAAACAAACGAGTTTCCTATGAATTTCGTATGAGATTGCGAGTAGTGACGTAATATTTTTTTACGTCAAATACTTATTAAATTTATTTCTCTTAAAATTAGAATGACACGTACATTCAGTAGGAACATTTATTTTTGACTATTTTATTACGTTCAAGAATATTGTGGTTTATTCTTTCGCCAAATTACATACACTGACATCTCGCGTATTTTTTGTGAAGTACTTCATCAGCTATCGAATAAGCCAACAAAACATAATAATAGAGTTATTTTGGATCGACTTATTATTTATGACTTGCCTTGCCTTGTCATTCTGCCTCGTCTTACATACCTATTTCGTTCCACTGACGATATAGAAATGTATGAAATATTGCAACTAATTGATTAATGTATGAAATTATTCATGTTCAGTCTTAATGTCGTGTAGTCTATTGTTAAATCTTAAGAGAAGTAATATTGATGATTGTAATGAATTCGTTCTAAAAATCTTTATTTTATTCTTGTGTGTTAGAATTGCACTTTGGTTGCCATATGAATGTGATTTCAGCAATTGAAGGAGGTATTATAAAGATTTAAAAAAAATCTGATAAGTATTTTTATAATAACTATCGTGAGACATACTAAATTAACTAAAAATCGCGGGTTACACACGTGAATATACTGAGAAAAGCTCGACAGTAGGCTGCGTGACATCGCCGACCGCGCACGAGATCATGAGGAAGAACCTCGCTGTGGTTCGAAACTAGTAGAGCTTTTGGCAGTATATAGTATTCGCGATTTTCAGTAACCTTTTAAGTTTTTTTTTATAACATAAGCCGGTAAACGACCAGACGTATCACCTGATGGTAAGCAATCGGCGCCGTCCATGCACTCTCGAAACACCAAGGCGTTACAAGTGCATTATCAGCCTTTTTGTAATTGAGAATTTGAGGATTGTGGAGGAATCAGGGATTCGGGAGACGAGGATTAAGGAGGGGGGTAATTGGGCCTCCGGTACCTCACTCACACGATGAAACACAACGAAGTTTTGAAAAGTCTAAAAAAATTTTTGTTGTTGTTTATAGTGTTAGTATTTACTTGCGAGGTTGTAAGATGATTAAGAATATAGTAAATAATTAACAATGATTGATCATATTACCTATGCTAGCTTTAAAAAACTGTAGCATCGCAAAAAGCCGGTAACTAAATATGTTGCACTTCATGCACCGGTTCTCAGGACGTCTTATAGATAAGGTCTCGATATAGTTCAGTGTCAGATTTCGATAGACTTTACACAAATTAAAATTTTAATAAGATATAGATATAAAAATAGAAATATCTACAAAATCGTCACACTCGTGCAACTTTTTCCGCATTCCAATAATTGACTACCTATTCACCTATAACTTAAAAAAACTACACAATACTTGTATGAAATAAGGAAAACCCAGCCACTGTGTAAGTAGATCATAACACCACACCTTTTATCCCCAAAGGGGTAGGCAGAGGTGCACATTACGGCACGTAATACCACTGTACATGTAACACCCACTTTTTACTATTTATGGAATCAGAAATCAGAAATAATTTATTTGCCAAAAATGTAGGTAACAAATATGTTGTTTTATAACTTTCATAACATGTTGTTTAATAACATTTTCATGCAAAAATATTGAGTTAACTGAATACTTTGTCTATGTTGATACGTTTACATCTAATTAACATTTCTACTATGTTATGAGTCCTATGCCCCTCTGCCTTTGGGAATAGAAGGTCGATGTTATGGTCCAATCATTATCTAATCACAAGTCAGTGCATAAAAAACAGTGCATTATTTACACAAATGTCATTGCAAAGAAAGCATTACACATCTAGTTTAAATATTGTCTCTTTTCTCCTATAGTTCATATGACAACACGGAAATAATGCATACTGATACATTATAATATATTATTATCATCAGTTACTTCTTGATAAAGATAGCATTGTTTGCACGCCAGTGTAATCAATGTAAAATAAACATATTACAAGTGTTCACTATTTTATGGCCTACAGTGTACGTGGCTATATTTTTTATTGGTTGAAGGCCATTTTTTGTAGTATGTTTGCAAGGTTGCTCTATTTTAATCCGTTTTAGATAAAGTAGATTGTTTTCTTATACTATTTTATTACTTTGTTTGGTAAGGTGTTATGAGGTTTAGATAGTACAATTTTTGTCTACTGTAGTGTGTTTTTTCTTTAATTTGTTACTACCTAACTGTTAGAATTACTATTACATGGGTTTTATAGTTCAATAATAAGGTTGACTTTTTGATTTTCATAATCTTATCTTTATCAAATTCATCGATTCGATTTTCGTACCCCTATTGCCTACATGAGATCGTGGAGGACTTAACAGGTTGCCGGGGTGTCTGTCTGAGTCTGACACTCCCTGTAGCCTCACCCGGGCGGGAGAAGTCACCCTATGATTTTCCCCCCTTAAAAAATGCCTACATGAATTCTGTAACTGGTAATTAGTGGATATTATTTCAAAAGTTATACATACCTCTTTCTATCTAATCTTCCACGGAAAACAATACATGATAGAAATAATATAATAAACACCTAATTCTTTTATAAACTACGGTTTAAAGAATACCGACTTGAGACCCCTCTTTTTTGAAATCGATTAATTTATAGATATACTGTAAACCTTATGCGAAGTGCATCAGGCACTTTTCTAAAAACCACATCGAAATCGGTTCAGCCAATACAATACAGTAATCGCGCACATATATGGTAGATGTCCCACCGACACGCACGAAGTGCTTCGCATCAAGCTTCCTTATACGTACTCCTAAGAAGTGGAATTCTTTGCCAGAGTCTGTATTTTCTGAAGGGTGTCTTCACCTGGGTGTCTTCAAGGCCCGAGTGAATATAGTGAATAGGTTGTTTTTGGGACGACGTGCTTCATCGTAGGCCGCATCATCGTTTACTACCAGACGAGATACTGGGTGGCTGGGTTTACCGTCCATCAAATAAATGTCATCATCAAATGTCAATTATCAAAAAACAGGAATGTTAACCTCCTTCTTTTTAAAGCTCTTAATGATGATTATGTTAGGTATTTCAGTAAGCGGTAATTAAAGTATACAATTATTTATAATATCCGAACTATTTATCTATGCTTGACGAAACATCTCAATTGTTATTTATTTGCACGAGTAGCCTCGAGATTAAAAAAGGTTTTTCTGCTTTCCTTTGTCAGACAAACGAAGTTAATCTGTATAATCCGATACGCTTAAATTAAACTATGGAGACTGGGTATTTTGATAAAGACCTTACAATGATTTTAGAGGCCCGTATTCGGGAAAACCAAACTTATAATAGTTCCATGGGCGAGTTCGAGATAGTACCTCTGTGTTTGATTCGGTATATCTTCCCAGAGAAGTAAAGGTGGGAAATACCATTTACATTACATAGAGAGGATAAGTTAGAAAAGTTTTATTTGGACCTTATTTACCTCTACACAAATAAATATAATTTGAAAGAAAGAAAAATAATTTACACGCCATTTTTTTATGTTAAAAAAAACGTTGCCCCACACTAGGATTACCTCCTGTGTCGTGGGTGCGTTTACAAACATACAAGTTCACATACACATTAGGTATAATGCACCAAATATATAAACAAAAAGAGTAGTTTTACTAATAACAAATAAAACCTATAAAAAATATTAAGTCAAATATTAATATTTGACTTTAAGGTCAAATATCATTTCAATATCCTATGTTGCCGGTCAAAAATGAATAACTGACCTGGTACAAATTCTCTATATCAATCATTCACTATTTTTGACCGAAACTGCTAATGAACTAGAACCAGTAATGTCAAAAATCGGTCTTGAATTCCAGATTTTTCATTGAAGTACGCTATT